TCACAAGTGTGACCAAGGAGACAGTATAAAGTTTAAATTGTCAATTAAAAAAAAATGTTCATTCTTTATGAAGTCTATAATCTGTAGAAGTCACACTGCTGGAGGCAGACACCAAGGACAAAAACCAGGGCCAGAGTTCAGACAAGGGAGTGTATAACATCATGGCAGTGAATTATGATTTGAGTTACACAAGCTAACCTGAGCGGAGAAATCAAACCGCACACCTCAGGGAATAAGCTGATCATTTTTAGAGTGTCACATCAGATTGCCTCCTAGTAACAGGGCACAGGAAGGAAAGGCAGAGCAGTCACCTTTGCCGAGTCAAAAGCACAGGGACAATGGGACTGTGGGAAGCCACCCAGGCTGCCCCTTGTCCCAGGGTAGGATCAGCTGAGACAGAGAGCTTCAGGAAGCCTCCATTAACAGTGGCAACTCCACCACACCTCCCAGCAATTCAATCCAGTGGTTTCAGGTCTGTACAGAGGCAGTATCTTAGGCCAAAAACCTTCCCCTAATTAAGACATCTCTGTCCTGAAGCACTAGGTGCTATCTACTGACCCTGAACATGGGAAATCAATAACACAAGTTTATTTAGCTACATCCTTCAGGGGCCCATATAGAGCAAACAAGCACCCCATTGCAACAGGCAGCAGCCAAATTCAAGCAACAGTGTTCATTCAGGTAGGTTGAACAGCAAATCTTCAACGATCTGTCTCAGCACTTAGGTTTTCAACTAAACTCAGGTGTAAGGCAGTAAGTAGTAGGCTCATAAGTAAACGAATTTTCTAGTGGGCCCTCAGACCAGAGAAGTCAAAAATTAAGACTGTTATAAACAACCAGGCCCTGAAGCATACCATGTTTGGACTGTCGTAGGAGAAAGGCCAGATGTTCCAGGGCTATACAGCTCTGATCCATTGGCAGGTCCAGTCCCAGAGTGCACCACATACCCTTGACTGTGTCTTGGGTGAGTAACCTCTTTTCTGTTCTTTAGGAAAAAAAAATCTCAGAGAGGACTAATTTGCAAGCTTTGTCTAGTGCCTGACATGTTCACTAACTTTACAAGACCTCTGAGTTCTGCAGCCCAGAGCATTATTTCTACACCACAGAACCCTGCTCAACGCACAGCTTGGCATTTCTGCTAAAACCCAGAGGACAAAGAAAATATCATTATTGCAGGTCTGGCTTCCTGGCTCTCATTTGCCTTTATGGGTGGTTGTTAGCAAGGAACTAAGTTTAGGAACAGAAGGCACACGCCTTCTGGCAGCTGCCTGCTCTTGAACAAAAGGACCTGGAGAGAAACTCACACCCATTTATTTGTTCACAGTAAAAAGAAAAGCTTAGACCTGACTTTGGCAAAAGCCAACTAGACTTCAAATTTAATGAACACAAGTCTTGTCTTACTCAAAGCTGAGACAGCAGAGGGCCTAGCATAGAGAAGAGAGCCTTAACACTGAATTTCTTTAATAACATAGAATGATTGTCTTCCATGAAGGCTAAGTCTACGCTACAGCCAGGAGGCACGCTGCAGCCTGAATAATCAACGAGTAAGTGCAGTGGAGAGATGAAAATGCTAGGCTGAAGGTAGAATGTCTCTAGAATGACACGGTTCAGCTTTAAGACAACTACAGATCTGTAGTCCTGAGAAGCGGAGGGGAGCAAGAGTTGGGAAGTCAGGAGTGTAACTCATGTTGAATTATCTATTGCCACATTTTCTAGCTGGAGCAGCTTTAGTTGCTCCTAGAACCTACATTCAAATGGTACGAGGTGTAGTGGGATCTCAACCACAACACACTCAGTATCTTTGCTGGAACTATTTCTACAACTTCACTGCATGTCCTTAGCCAGTCCAGTCTGCCAAGACCTCCACTGATGGGAAAGAAGTGCATTTAACTGTTGGATTTATAAACAAAGCTTGGGTGAGCAGAGTTAAAAAAAAAAAAACAAACAAACCCACAAAAACGCAGCACCAGAGAAAGAGCAGCAGTCATTTGCAGAGATTAAGGAGGATTTGTTTCCTTCCCAGGAGAGGGGAAATTAATTTTGGGGACACAGTGCTAAGATACTCAGCTATAACTGTTTTTTATTATATTGATCCCTACCACCTCACTGTTACGTCCTGTACCTACTTCCTGTACCAACCTGCTGACTCGTTTAAGCAACTTTTATTAAACTCCACAGAATAGACATTTCAATACCTAGCAGTGCTGGAGCTCTGATTTTTGTCTCCAACTTCTACAAACTACAACAAGGTAGAGTTAAGCAACAAAAGAAGATGTAAGTCAGTCCTTGGAGACACTAAAATGCAGGAAAACAACATGGACTAGACAAGCATCAGGCAAAAACTAAGATCTCATTCAGCCCCAGGGGAACTGCCTGGGGTAAGTGTCAATCCTCTCCCCCAAAATTCCAGAACTGGAATTAAGGAAGAGCATAGGGAAATGACTTTAGGAGGCAATAATTCAGCATCCTTTCATCAGAGGCAATGATAAATTGTATCAGCGGCAACACCAGAGATAACAGACAGCATAAGGGTTTGGCATGAAGCGATTTCCACACAGATGATTTGAGGAAGAACTACGAGTGGACACAGACAGCAGGCCCATGAGACTCTGCCCATCTTTGCAGCATTCAATAGCAGGAAAACAAAGGCCAGCAAGAATGTGAATACAGACCGACAGCTGAGCAGATGAATTAAAAAGCAAGCCGAAGATCTAAGAAATTATGCCAGACAAAAGGTGCAAACTCAATCTTAAAACACTCTGCAGCACAGAAACCAAAAAGTCTGACCTCAAAATCAATAGCTCTGTGATATATGCAAAGCAGAGGAAAGGTGTGTTAAAGTCCTAACCAAGTTACAGAATTATTCCCTGAAATGCAAAGAAAAGATGGAGCAGCAGACAGCTGCTGATTGAAACAGGAGAAGCAAGGGGAGAACGGTTTGAAGCAAACCCATCATCAAGAGAAAACAGCCTGAAAAATTAGTAGAAAATTAATTTAGTAGGAATTGCTATAAATCCACATGTAACACTTAAAGATGCACAGCCCAAAGCAATGCGTGTACAGAATCTACAGAACAACACAAAAGATGCATTTCTATGACTCAGGAAAGCTTTGTCAGTAGGACGCCATCAGCTCATGCTATTCAGGTGTACAGAATCTGACTGCAACGAGAAGGATGCAGTCAGGTGTGATAAATCAGGGCAAGAGAGGTAAGGGAACCAGCTCATGCTGTTCAGGTGTTTGAAATTTGAATTCAACAATAAGAAGAAAATCAGGTGTAATAAATCAGGGTAAGAGAGGTAAGGCCAGCTCGTGATGTTCAGGTGTATGAAATTTGACTTCAACAAGAAAACTAAAATCAGGTGTAATAAATCAGGGCAAAAGAGATAAGGGGCCCACAGAGAAGTCATAATACATACTAACAAATGTTCCCTAGACATACTGGTTTACAGTAATATTTCCTGAAAATTAAGTATTTCAAGAGGATAAAGCATGTTATTAGCTGTAGTTCAAAATTACAGAATCATTTGGGATGGAAGGGACCTTTAAAAATCGTTCAGTCCAATCCCCCTGCCACGGGCAATAAGCCCCCTCTGCCCTGAACAGGCAGTGAAATCACTGCTATCCTTGCTGGGGCTAGATCCCCTCACTGTATTTCCACTGCACAGCCATGACTTCTGTGACTACAGATAGACTTGTGCTGAAACCAAAACAGCAAAGGATTTCCAAAAGCATCCAGCAACACAATGTCACATCCTTTAGCCCTTCCCTCCAGGTAAGGGCAGGGCTTGGATACAGGACATCCCACATTTGCACAGCTGCTCTCTCCCAGAAAGTTCAGTCCCCCAAACTCCTTTGCCCTTGTAAGAAGAACCAGCAAGGTGCCACTCACTGAAGGGCTGCAGAGCCCCTTTCAGCAGGCTGCCCTTGCTGCTGGGCACTGGGAGCTCCCTGCCATGCCCAGTTGAGGGTCAGCGTGTGCAGATCACGGCTGCAGTGCTGCCCTTCCACCTGCACACGGCAGCCTTGGGGCTTTAGGCAACACAATCCACCTCCCCCCCCAAATTACAGGTTTTCTGAAGTTATTCCATTTTATTCCCTAACATACCTTCGGCCCTAGTAGTTTTCCTCAGAGCTGCAAGCTCTATACTTCCTGCAAAAACCCAGAGGTTTTCCCTTTCTCTTCCAACCCTCCCCATTTCTCCTGCTATTGAAAGTAAAAATAAAATGCTTTAACTCAAAACTCAATCACTCACTTCCTCTGGTGCCTTTCTGGGCGACAGTCATTTCTCCAGCTGCTGTTAAGCCTCTTTCAGAACCACAGCTCCTCGTTTACTAGAGGTTTTCTGTTGCAACACACCTGACTGGCCTAAGAACCAAGGGAGGAAGAAAATTACTGTAAAGGAGCAACTAAATCACTCCCAAAAGTAAGCACTTTGTGACAAAGAAAAAAAAAATGAAAGGCTAATCCATATCTTAGAACAGCATTTCAGCTGTCTTCTGAATAAGCCAATACAATGCTTTTGGGAGGGACTAACATATGGGGAGAAAAGTCAATACATGCCCTAACAGCAGCTTTAGATAGGAAGGGAACTAAACCAGCCCCTCTCCCTCCAAAAGCCGCTGCTCATCCAGGGCACCCTTCAAACTTCCCAAAAGTTGGAGGCAGGGAGGCACCAAGTAACTCCCCTTGGGAACAGAGCAGAGGAGAGATGCCTCGCCGCCGCCTCCTCCTCACGGCCTCTTCCAGGAGCCTCCCTCACCCTCACCCTCCTCGCAGCGCAGAGCCCTACAAACCGAGCCCCAACAGCAGCCCGACCCAGAGGGAGGTCGCGGGGGGTTGCCCACCCGAGACGCCCCCACCCGCGCACCTACCGCTGCCCCTCGCCCCAGGCTGGCGAGCTCCAGCAGACAAACAAGAGAGAGAAAGACAAACAGACAGACACACAGCGGAGTAACGACCGCCCCCCTCAGCCGCCGCGCTCCCCCTCAGCGGCGCACGCGCAGCAGCTGCAGCCCGCTCCCAGCGCGTGGAGCGGCAGAGCACACCCACCCCCGCCCGGCCATCGCCCCTTTAACCGCAACCCGCGCCCCCTCCCCACCTCCACCAGGGCGGTGTTGCCCCTTTAAGCCCCGCCCCGAGGTTGGAGCGGAGTCGCCGGAGCAGCGCGGGTCCGCGGCGGCGCGAGGGGGAACCGGGAGCGGGAACCGGGATGTCCTGAGGCGGCGGCGGCGGCGGCGCCGGGCCCCGCCACGGAGCGGGCGGTGGAGCAACGGGCCAAGGGCCGGGCCCCCATGAAGGAGAAGGAGGCGGGGGCGGAGCGGGGCAAGCCCGCCACTTACACCGGGGACAAGAAGGCGCGCATGGCGGCCAAGACCAACAAGAAGTGGGTGCGCCTGGCCACCGTGCTGGCCTACGTCCTCTCTGTCTCGCTGGCCGCCATCGTCCTCGCCGTTTACTACAGCCTTATCTGGCAGCCGGTGCGCGGCGCCGGCCCCGGCCCCGCCGCCACCCCGCAGCCCCGCGCCGCGCCGCCGGGCCCCGCCGGCCCCACGCAGGAGGCTCCGCCCGCACCGCCGCCGCCGGGCCCCGGCCGCGACCCCGGCCCCGGCGAGACGGAGCGGCCGGCCGGGCCATCGCCGCCGCCCGGGGCCGAGGCGGGCTCCGCTGCGCTGCGCCGGCTCCGCGGGAGCCCCTGAGGCACCGGGCGGGACTGCGCGGAGCGGCCGCGCCTCGGCCCGGGGGGCCCTGCCGAGGCCGGGAGCGGAGGGATGCGGCGGCGGGGGGATGGAGCCCGGCGGAGGAGGAGGAGGAGGGCGAGGACGAGGGATGGAACCCGCGCCCGGCGGCGGAAGGGATTCGGCGGAGGAGGGAGCCCGGCAGCACCGCGACCCCCGCCGCGGCCGAGCCCCGAAGAGCTCGGGCTGGAGACTGCCCCGGCCCGGGAAGGAACCGGTTTGACTTGGGACAACTGCGGTACCTTTTTTTTTTTTTTTTAACCCCGTTCTTCCTCAAAAGGGAATTTTGTGGCTTTGTTTTTCTCCTCACCAGGGCTAGTTTCTCCCTTTGAACCTGCATTGAATTCCTGCGCTATTTATGCCAGTCTGTTACCTATAAAAGGATATCGGTGTCCAAAATTCCTCACTATTTACAGCATCAGCTGGGAACATTATGAATTTAGAGGCTGTAATCCATTGTTTAAGTAAAACCAGCTTTGTTTAACAATGAGCATAAACTTATTTAAAAACATGTGAAAGGTAAATTGACTTGTTTATTATATTAAAATATTTTCCCAATATGAAAGTCTCTGCAATACAGTATGTTCTCTTCGGGGGTGGGAGGATGATTTGGGAGGAATGTTGAACTGGAAGGAAGGGCTCTCTGGGTACCAGAAATGGTTTGCCCGCTCTAATGGGCAACTGCGGCATATAATGTTGTTGATTCATTTGTCGTTGGTCTCCTTAGGTGAGGCTGGAGAAACCTCCATGCGCGCCTAACTTCTGCTAATCATGGCAACTAAGCGTTGGTGCTGAGAAGGTTTGATCTTTCCTGACAGGAGCAGGTGGAGCTCTCGCGGTGCTCGTGCTGGCGTGGGACGGCTGAGCTCCGTGGCACCCTGGAGTGGGTTCTGTCGGGAGGTAGGTTGGTGCCAGCCAGCTCGTGATGTGCCCAGGGCGAGCTCTCCTCCCGGCTTGATGTTTTCATGCCCTGTAGTTTTCGGAAATGTTCTGTGTGAAAAGAAGAAAAAGGCCTTTAATGACCGTGGGGTGTGGGCTGTCAAGGAGGAAACTGTAAGGCCTCTGTCATTCCGAGCAGCTGCTTTTCAGATGGGTGGCTTCGGTTGAATGCTGTAACTGTGAGGCTGACAGGCTATTCTGTGTCCCTGTGAAATGATGCCTGGAGTTCAGACTTCCTCTGCTGAAGTATAAAAATGTGCTCTGATGTGGTGTATACATCTCAGTTGTGCAAATCGTGAAGGTACTGTCAAATGCGGCACTTAGTATTTTTTTTTTTTTTTTTTAACTTGGTGGGGAAAATAGCTGTATCATACCTGGATTGGTGATGGTGCGTTAAGCCCATGCCATCAGCTGGGCACTTCCTTTACAGTATTTGTTAAAGGTAGAAGCCAGAAACAGGGCTTCCAGAAAGAAATGAGGCAAAAGGAGGGAGCGGTTTGGGTGTGATCTTCCACCCTCCTGTTCTGGATTGCGTGCAGGAAAGTCTGTATGTTGTTAATGCGCTTGAAAAGAAAGCTTACTGGTGGGAAGGAAAAAAGCTTGTTACATAGTCATTTTAGCCAAAAGCATGCATGGGATCATTGCCAGCCTTCTGCAGGGCAGGTGGAAGAGCTGGTGAAGGAGCTGCGGCTCTCGCGGGCGGCTGCCCTGCTCGCACGCTGCAGTGCTGGGGCTGGCGGCACGCTGGCAGCAGCACCGAGTGGGGCATGGGCCAGGCCCTTGGCTGAGCTCGGCCCCACGTGTGCCTCGTGCCCCTTCTGTAGCAGGGGCTGATTTTGTTCCCCTGGCAGCTCTGCCTGCAGCACGCCAGTACCTGCTCATGGGGCTGCCGCGCATGTGCTGTGGCTCTGGGTCCTGGTGATCACGGTGCTCTCTGCTCTCCTTGGTGTGCTCCTCTGGTTGTAGGGGGAAAGGTTCCTGCAGTTCTCTGAGGGAGGAATGAGTAGAAGAGAAGCAAGCCAGGCTCATTGCTTGGTGCTAGTCGAGTTTAGTCTTTCTTGGCTCTGGTACTAAATGCAGAACTAGTTGGGAGGCATCTCTGGGAGGGAGCTTGTCTTTAACTTTCAAAACCTCTGAAGATAAATAAAAGCTGGGTGGAATTACAGAGATGTTGGGATTTCTCTGGGCCTGGCCTGCAGCTGAGAACTGGTGAATCTATAGTGGCTTTGAACCATATATCCAATGTATGCTGGATACGCACAGACTCCTGGCATTTTTCACTTTAAATACAATTGCTCTCAGAAGACTAACAGAGCATGGCTGCGTAGAGCAGATGGAAGAGGAAGTGAATTAAATGGGCTGCATGGCCCTCTTCCAACTTGTCATGTAACTGTGGAAAGATGCCTTGTGTTCAGGAGCAGGAACAACTTAAAGCTTTTCACCTGGTTTGTGGTTCTGGTGGCACAGGATCTCTGGGACAATGACTGTGTTCAGATCTGCTTTATCAAGGGCAATAGACCCATTGCTGATGGTTGTCTCCCTTTCTGGTGCTAAAAATAGTTGATGAGCCAGTACGAAGATGGTTGTGGCTGTCTTCATTCCTGTATGAAAGTGCAGGCTTGATGAGTTCCCAGGCTGTGTTTTTGCATCTTCTCCTCTGCTGACAAATTGAGATTTAAGTGAAACGCTTCTATTTCTGTACCTGTTACAACTGGCTTTGGAGCGTCGTGTTACTTCACTCCTGTTGTACTAAGTGTGCAAGGGGGGGAGCTTTGGCTCGTAGAGATGCAGAAGGCTTGCGGACTACTGGCCCAAGGCCAGGGAGCTTTTGTGATTTGAACAGCCTTGTTTTCCAAAGCCCTTTTGGGCCTAGAGTCTTCAGCTAAAATCCCTTCTACATCCTTTCTCTAGCCAGGAATCATAGATCTCGTTGGGAAAATACGTTCCCCTTGAGATGCTCCTGTTGCCAGCCTGCAGTGAGCCAGTCTGTGCTTGCTGTTCTTCGTGGCAGACTGTCCAAGAAATCCGTGACTAAGTGCGTGCATTTTGTGAATACTTCTAGTAACAAAAATGGTTTGTCTGGACTGGTTTCTAGGTGTAAGCTAACTTTTTAAAATCCAGGGTACTAGGGATTTCTTGGGAAGTAGGTTGGCTGAAACAGATAACAGCTGCATTGTCATCTTGGACTGTGAATTTTTACACCATGTTGCCATCTCTGTACTGAGACACTCATCTGCATTTGAACAGAATTTTTTAGTGCCCTAAAATGGCGCAATCACCAGTCTCGGGTAAACCTGAGGCTTAAGAGGCAGAGTGTCTTGTTATCTGTTGTATTACTTCAGCTCCAATTCAGTCTTTCCCTTCATTGCTCCTGAAAAAAAAAAAAAAATTCAGCTCACTTAGTGTAATTGTATCAGGCGAGATAAGGCACAGGCTTTTGTGTTGCTTCTTAGGTAGAAATCGCTGTAACCTTGTGATTTGTAATGTTATTTCCTTGGAGATGCTGGTAAGGGCTGTTCCCTTTACACAAACTGTCCTGCGTATTGCTTGCAAACAGAACTGTGTCATATTTCCAGTGTGCGCAGACCTGTGTGAAAGGGAGTTGTCTGAAAGTCAGTTTGGACAAAGAAGATAATCAAAGACAAGTGAAATGTTGGGTCTTAGGCCCTTTGCTTTAGTGATATAAGGAAGTTAACAAGAGTCTCAAAACTTCCAACTCTGGGATGCTCCTGTAAAAGCATGATAGCTGTAAGAATAGGGCTGGAATAGTGGCATCTGTGCTTCTGGTTTTTTACTTCATTTTTTTTATTGATTAAGCATGCTAATAATTCTGTAATGCCAACTTTTCCTCCAAGTTTTGAGTCCCTCTATCATTTAAGGCCTGAGTTCTAGATTTTTGTCCTCGAAGAGCCTTTAAAAAAATTGTGGCACAGAAAATAGAAGTCACTGTACACTTGTGCTTCAGGTGCAATTTAGTTTTGAAATGCAGCGACAGAATGCCTGGTTGGCAAGTGTTAAGGGGGAAGGTGAATACCATGGTAGCTTTAATTTCCCAATTCCTAATGACAGTAATCACTTAAGAGGAGGGAGAAAAGACCAGGTCATGTTCTGCTTTTCCTTTCTGACTGAGAAGAGTCTCATGAGGGAGGAATCATACTTCTTGTGAGAAAATTTCTGCTAATGCTGCCTTGTCCAACTCTCACATGACAATGGTGACCCTCCAGCGCTGTGTAATGCTGTCACTGCTTAGGTCCTTACAGAAGGATGTGAACTGCAAGCTCTGATGTAATGAAGTGCTCCCTAAAAGGAGGAGTAATAAGTGAAACTTTATTAACGATGTCCAGTCAAAGGTGTAGCTAGATCAGAGGATGTTTTCTCGAACCTTCTTGGTTCCTTCCTTGCACCTAGATACCTCTGGGCTGACACCTATTTACTTGCACTCTGCCTGCACATGCTGGTCTTATCCCGTTGAGCTCAATTTGTTCAAGGAGAGTGCGTTTGGTATAACTCACGTGCAGAGGGGCCAGAAGAAAGGGAAATAGCTGGGAAAAAAGTTACTGGAGCATGTAATATGCTCCAGCAGCTGACTTACATTTTCATCTTCTAGAAGCTACCTTTTCCCCACATGTGTGTGGTCTCAACTGATGTAATGCATGCCGCCTTAATCCCAAGTCCTGGGACTGGGCTGTTTCTGACAAGGAAGGTAGTGTTATTTTTACTCCAGATCTTGGCTTAATTCACGGGTGTAGCTGAAAAGCAGTCTTGTGGTGTAGTGTTGATACAGAATCAGTGGCTGCTGCTGGGCATCAGGGATCTCCTTTAGAGAAGTCAAAACTAATCAGCGGGCCGCTCTGGAAAGGGTTATGCACGGGTGTGTGTCTGTTACCAATGGCTGGCTGCGAGTCCTGGAGGTGCTGAAGTGTGGGGAGAGGGAAATGGTGCAAGAAGCAGTCGTACCCAAGCCGGAGCATAAAGCTAAGGAGGTGAAGCCTGACTTCTGGCTATTCCTCGTGTCTCCGGAGGCGGTTTTGGGAGAGCCCCATCTCTGGTCAGTTGTCGTGTTGCTGCGCTGAGCTGGTGCAATCAGGAGAGGGCTGTGGAATCCCCGAAGCGTCGGCTGTGCCTGCCAGCAGCTGCGGGCGCTGTGAGCCTGTGAACGGGTCGAGCTGTTGTTGTGGCACCTTTGCAAGGGGAGGCAGCAGGCAGTGCTTTGGACTTCACAGCAGTGCTCTATCCTGCTCCTGCTCTGTGCCCCTAATTGATTTAAAAAGCTTTCCACATAACTTAAAAAAGCACTAACTGCTGTACTACGCACTTTAAATACAAAAAATTCTGACTAAATGCCAGTTTAGCTTCAGGCTCCTGTGTTGTTTGCAACCAATTTATCTGGAGGGGAGCTGGTGTGGAAAATCAGTGAATATTTCTGGTATTTCTAGTCCTAGACTCTGTGTAGGGCTTTACTCATTAGTCATGTCTGCGGTATGATTCTGCTCTAGGTATTGGGCTTGTTGAGATAGGAATGAAGAGCTGGAGCTGCTGTCGGGATTACAGTGTTGCTTCCTGCAGTAATTGGCTTGGTAAAGCTTTGGAAACTGAAGTATCTCCAACTTTATCCAGATGTATTTTTGTCCTTGGCTTGAGGTTTTTCAAATTGATCTCTTTATACAAGAGTTGATTGACTAGTCTGGGATCAATTTTGCTGTGAATTTTAGCTACAGAGCTGCCGTGTTGAAATTGATGGTAAATTTTGTCAACTAGAAGAGTGTCTAGCAGCAAGCTGTTTTTTTGGTTTAAAGAAAAAGATGTTCTGCCTGAGAGTCACCACTGCTTCCCTGCTGTCTGGAAGACCTAGAATAACTTTCACGAATCCCTGAGCTACCAGCCACTGCTGGGAGCAAACAGGTGCCTCCATAGGCAGATGACTTTGCACTCTGTGAGCTGCCACCACATTTGCTTGCAAGAAAAGTTCTGTGGCAATGAGGCTTTGCTGCCTCTGAAAAAGTGAGCCTTGTGTTACGGTGCAGGCTGTCGTCACTGCAGTCAGCTTTTCAGGTGAGTTAGCTGAGCTAGCCCAAGAGTTCAGCGCCTTCCTGAGGGGTAAGCAATCTGAATTGGAGCTGTTGCTCTAAAAAGCAGAGATTACTGATTCAATTCAGAAAACTCTACATGTGGGACTGAGAAACACTAAGAAACTGGAGGTGTTTCCTCATTACAACTTTTATTTCATATAAATAATCCCTCTACATCAGATTTTTCAACTTTTCAGTCCTTTCACTGTAAAGAAGAAACAGCTAGCCACAGTTTTCTGAAAAATTGCAATCCAGGCGCCAACCAAAGTGCATTTGAGCAAAGTGTTAATAAGCAGGGAAAAAATTACACTGAGAACAGGCACAATCTGTACAGTCCCATCCTTGGAGCTTGGTACAGACTCAGTCCTTCCTAGGCACCATTAAGTGCAAAGTTACTTGGATTTGCAGGAGAAAAAGGAGGGATTGGAGGAAAAGTGACATTTTTCCTTTCAAAAAGGGGTCTAGGGTGAGAAGATACAGCAAGAATTGCAGTTGGCCCAGTACTTGGCGATAGAGATAAAAACCCAGGGGCTGTGTAAAAGTTTCTGCCTGGCTGCGTGTCCAACTGCTGCCGAGGTACAACAAGCTCTTGATCTGAGACTGTATTTTGCACGGACCGTGAGGCAAGCCGGTTCCTGATCTGTGCTGGTAATGACTCAGTCTGACTGGACCAAGACTGAGGTCAGTGACCTGATGTAAAAAAATAATAATAAATTAAACAATAGTAAGCTGGTTTTTGAGCCAGTCAGATAAGGAAAAATCAGCCTTTAATAGTGATGGAGAATCTCCAGGACCTGGAGCAGTTTTACAATCTGGCTTTTATCTATCTGTTCTTTATCTGTTGGGTAAGTCCAAATAAACTCAGTCTGGGCTTTAGTGGGATGAAGATGTTCCTACAGATAAAACATGAAAGCTGCCCACTGTTTCTCAGTAATACCTAGTCTGAAGCCAGTAAACTCTCCTGAATTTGGCACAGGGAGGAAATTCTCAGGCTTGTCCTTCATGAGATGGGTGCTGTGGGTCTAAGTTATGTGGAAAACCAAAATGTTTATCTGTGCAAATATTAGTTTATTAAAACCGTACAGTATTTCTGTCCACACATGCCAACCTTATCACCAAGGCGGTCTGCCATTTTGGTTAGCGAATGCATCCTGCAATGAAATCCAATAAATCTCCACACATACCTGTCTGCATGTACGTTTACTCCCGCATCAAGTCTTAGAGCCGTGCTTCAAAATGAGGGCAATATCTTTCAGCAGTCAGAAATTACGTTGTGTTACTCCTTGTGCCTGCCTCCTGAACTGGTAGCTGTATTTCAGCTAGGTCCTAGGTCCTGGTCAAAACGTCTGCATGGCAGCTTCCAGAGGAACTGCTGCCCTCTTATTGAAGCACAAGGCTATGAAAGGCACAACCAGAAAGGTGAAAGCATTTGCTAGGAAGCCTTAGACCTCCGGCTCCAATTTGGCCTGGGTTCTGCTGCCAACTCCTTTGTGCAGTGTGGTGGAGAAGGAAGATTGTTGCATTTGTGCGGTCCTTCTCCTTGCCCTGCTTGGCACAGAGAGCTGCAAGTATCTCCAGTGCTTGTAGCCTTCCTGGTGTTCCCAGGTGGGCATGGTGTTTCAGTGAGCTGCCCACATGCCTGCTCAATCTAGCAGCCACCTTCCTCAGAAAAAAGCACAGTCTCCTGATGTGCAGATTCAGCCACCGCTGCTTCTGCCTTACTACATCTAACGGGAGGAGGAAGGCAAGCTCTTTGGGGATGAGATGCTGTGGGTGACGTGTGCTCGTCAAAAGCACCTGCACCCCCCAGTCTAACTGAAGAACTCCATCCCCTTTGTGCCCCATGGCCCAGGCAACTGCTCTACATCTCTGCCAACACTTCATCCACATACAAACCCCTAGTACAAGAGCTGCTCTGAACACTACTTTTTCATCCACCTACTGAACTACAATGGAACACCTCTCACCCTGTCTCCCAATGCTCTGTCAGCCGCCTGCTCTCTGCCCAGCAGCGAGGGAGAGCTCGCACAGCCCCGGCTGCCCTCCTGGCACATGCAGTTCCCTACCAGCATCTGGGGGGAGGAAATGGGTGCTGTGCCCAGAAACCTAAATCTTAACTTTAAACAGAATTAGTTATTAAATAAAATAAAGTGCATCCGGTAGACATTTCATGGGCTTGCCACACAGCTGCAATATAGGCAAAACAAATACAAAAGATTAAGTGATGGTGTTTCTTGGTAGGTTGGGAGTGTGTATCCTTCCCTGTCCTTTGGCATATGGTGAGGAAAGGGTGATGCCAAAGCAGGGAGTGGGGGTGGTGATGGGGGACCCCACACGTGAACAGGTGCTAAAGGGCACAGGGCAGGTGCTGAAAGCTGATTTCATAGAAGGTAAAAGAGTGAGGATGAGCTTGTGCTCCTCTTCTCTTCTCATCCACCACCTTCAGCACGTTATCCTGTGAAACAAGAGCAGAGACAGCAGTGGGATTAGCAGTCTTTAGGGAACTGCTGAGCAGTAAATGAAAAATGTCTGCTGAGTTTCAGCCTGACCTGCCTGCACGGCTGGGGCTGCCTGGGAGGTACCACGGCAACATCACCCGGATCTGCCCTGCCAAATCTGATGGGAGCAACAGGGGCTCTGCGGCCCAGGGGGTGAACGGAACGTACCGCTCCAGATGAAACACACTCCCAATCCTCCTCTGGGTTAGATAAGACTACTTGACTCCTCATCTCCAGAACAACAATCTTTACATGGTTTTGTGCTGGAGCAACAAGAGGAGGGGCTGATGTTGGGCAGGGCTTTGTGGTCCTCATGTTCGCCAAGAGCAGAAGGGTGTACCAGCTTTTCTCTGGTGAAAAAACTAACCCATGAGTGGAGCCTGCTGTCCTGTAGCTGCCTGCAGACCCAGATATGTTGATTTTAATTGGGAAAGGCAGACTTTTTTTTTTTTTTTCCTTCTAGTTGCCAGATATTATGGTACTGCTCAGAACTGCTGAGCTGGCATTTTCCTGCATCCATGTTTAAATCCACAGATCTGCCTTTTGCTGATGCAGATTTCAGTACTCAAAGCTCCCAAGAAAGGGCAGAGGGGGGATATAAAAAGAAAAACAGATTAAATACGATGAAGGCAGGAGAGGCAATAGTAAGCTAGGAAGGAATCATTTAAGGACACAGCCACAGATAAGGGACTGCACTGAAGTCATGTGATGGTACTGAAATAATCGATGCAATGTACAGCTGAGAGGAGATCCCAAGACTGTCACTGGAGACATTTTTCATTGTCCTGTATGTGTGCGACCGACAGGCTTGGCCGTATCCTGCTGTCGAGGGGCTGCTCAGTGCTGCAGCAGCTCACTTCTGGGATTTAATGCTTCTAGGGAGGGCCAGGAAGCAGATTTTCAGAGTTGCACTTGGTGGTTCAAATACCGTAAAATAATCTGTTTGACAAGTCTGAACTGACTCCAGAGCTAGCTCTGTTTATTGTTAATCTATTTTTTTATTCACGGATTCAGAAGTCTCTTTGACAGCCCTGTGCTATTAGTGCTGGTTGACAATTCTCCTTCCTGTTTTGCAGTATTATCCTTTCCATACAGACACCTTTCTGTGCATGAGTGAGTCTTTACAGCCAAGACACTGGTGGGCTTTAAAGTCAATATTTCTCTTAGTATTTAGACATAATGATTAGCATTTCTCTCATTTCACACTGTATCCTCTTTTCCATGCATAACTCAAGGGCCGGTCAGAGATCTAGCAAGCTCTGTGCTGTTGTGAGTCTGGGCTCCGGGGAGCGATGCGGCTGTGCGCTGCCTCAGACTCTGCCACCAGCAGCGAGGGGATGCAGTGCCAGATTTCCCTCCCTGTGTCAGCGTCACAAGAGAGGATCCATGCGGATCGCTGGGGGTCTCTCCGAGGCCCCACCTGCCTCCCAGGTCCCAGCCTGACAGAGCCTGGCTGGACGTGGGACGTCACCAGGATGACTTTCACAGCCAAGCCAACGGTCCACTGCGGGACCTAGTGGTTAAATTTCATGCTGTGGCGTGGATGTACATGCAGTCCCTGAGGAGTGCAGCGGGATGTAGCTGATGAAGTCAGGCAATTTGGCCCTTCTTCCTTCAGCTGAGATTAGTGCTATCCATCCTCTGCTTGGGTTGGAAGACACTGTGTTGGGTCTCTCCTGGGGCAACTCCAGAGTTCCCAGAGACAGTTTTGTTCTTGGTGGGCCACACAGACAGTCTCATGAAATACTACAAGGCAAACTGAGACGTGACATGTAAGGACCATCTGTTAGACATCATCATACCAGATTTTCTCACTTAGCTTTTTAAAAATTGATATATATATCTGCTGTTCCAGAATACACTGTAAGGCCAGAAAAAAAGACCAGTAAGATGATGAGACATCTACCTAGCACTGGACATCCCCCAGTTACTTCCCATTTGAATTAGAACTGATTTATTTAAGGGGAAAAAAAACCCTAATCCTGTCTAGATTTGCCACTGGTAGTAAAATTATCACTGCAATCCTTGATGAGTTTAAATATGTAACGAGAGTCTTTGGTGGAGATTCCTTTTGGAGTGGTTTAAGATACTGTGACTCGCGAGGGTCTGTCCGTTCCTTCTCAACAGCATAGCTGGCAGACAGGAGGATGTGCCTGTGCCCCCTGGCACGGCAGGCCACAATGCGGTACGTTGATCTCCTTTTCACAGGGGGCTTACATTAAGAGGGTTAACACAGTGGCGGGGGTATGGGCACATGCTCCCTCTGCCAGCTCTGTGATAACAGCAACAACTGCAGGCTACACAAGCAGCTACAGGAACAGCTTTGCCTGCCAGGGCCCCAGATTACGCTGAGACTCGTGAGGCTTCAGTAAGTGCAGCCCTGAGGAAGCACAGGCGCGCCAACGACTCGCTTTGGCCTTTGACTCAGCATTAACAGCTTCTAATGGTTCCTTCTCAAGTCACCCTGACAAACCAAGGAAGAGACAGAACCTCTTGCAAAGTGCTGGAGAGATTTAGGAGTAAAAAGCCTCCATTTCCAGATGGGATGCGTGCACTAATTCTGGGTGTCAGCGAAAGCATCTGCTTTGACAGTGCTCACCAACTTTGATGGGCGCATACACAACTTTGCCATCAAATTCATCCTGTTGCTGCCACCAGCACCGCGTTACCTCATCCCTGCCCGAGCACGCTGCTCAGGCCAGCCTCGAAGCTGCCCAGAGTCCCTGCTTCAACCACAGCATGCTTCCAAGTCACCTGTCTTCTGACAGGTAGCAACCTTTTTCTAATTTTCCCATATTTATTCTTGAGCTTCCTCAATACATTGATTCTTGCACCAGCACTGTTTTCTGGCTTGAATGTTTCTTCTCCTTTGCTGGTGTCTACTACCCCACTGTATCTGTACGGAGATCACAACTCCATCCCTTTCTGCCTTCATTTTGCTAGACTAAACAATTCCCTGAACACCCCTGGAGTCCTTCCCTGAGTTTCTTCAGTCCGAGTACATTTCTCTTGAACCATTCCCCATGTTTTCCAAAGTTAACAGTATTTTCCCACATCGTGCCACAGGAAGGGCTTTCCACCACTCCAGAGGTATGGAGCTAACTGTGTCAAGTCCTGTATTAAGCCATGACACTCCCTAATTCTGCATCAGGACTAAACTCCCTGCTTTGGTGGTAAGCGGTACTAAGATGTGCTCTGGGAAGCTGAAATGCCCAGAGCATGACGATGGGCTCCAGAAAGTGGTGTGGGCTGCAGGAAGGACCGGGGAGGCCAATGCTATTCATGGCAAGCCCTTGAGACCTCACCCTGCCAATCCCAGGCCAGCTTCCAAGGCATAACAGCAGATGGTGTCTTCTTGTCTCTTGAACCTTGGGGAAACCGGTATGTTCCTTGGTAGCTCCGTAACTATTGAGAAGTGTTGGTTTCTCCTTGTACTTCTTCCTGCACCAACCTTTGGCACTGGTTTGCATCAGAAAGCTGACCTCTTCTGACCCCCTCAATCCTGCAGCACACAGGCCCTGCCTGCCCCACTCCTGTTTACGTCAGCCAGAGCTGCAAGGTCAGATCCCTGGAGCTGCTCTGGAAAACTACCCCCAGCTGCATTTTCTCTAAAGATGTTAAGATTAATTTTCTCAAGAGAATTCAGGGAAAAGCTTCTGTGGTTTTTGTGTATCGTTTACTTCTCTGGGACTTGTTGGATATCCTCCAGGGATTCCAGTCCTGCACTTCGGGTAAATATTTATTCCTTGTTATTTGAAGCAAAGGATGAAAGCCCCACCACACTCTCTGCACAGCATCTCCAACTGGTTTGAAGGTGCTGGAGATTTTTAGTGCCATAAATAGACATTAGCAGTGGAAACTGTGAAACCCACATAGCGGCTACTTCCTGCAAGGAGCTGCTGTTCTGCAGAAATGATGAGCAGCACCTGTGGTGGGGAGTTAGATCTGCACATTAATGTCTGTGGGACATGAGCCCCACAAAGCCCAAGAGCAGGGCAGGTGGAGAGCATACTACTACCACTGATGGCTGATGTTTGCTGCTGCTGCAGGTACCTGCTCTGCTTTGGGACATGCAACATCCATGAACAGAGGGCACATCCCTGGCACCAGGTGAAGTGGCCTGGTACAGGATTTTCTGATGGATGGAAATTCCACAGGATGAACTTTTTAATGGTATGATATTTTTACATTCCTCTCGAGGTTGTCTTTTGCAAAATCACGCCATCTGTTTCAACACTGATTTGCCAAAAATTGCACCGTATCAAAACTGAATCACCAGTATTTAAAAACATAACATTAAAATCTTCTGTTTTGAAAAGGTTTAACGAGGGCTTCACTTTGGGTTTATGAAATAAAAAACGTTGAAGCAGACACATTTCTGGTACATGCATGGCATGTGTCAAATGTGTATTTTTCACAGGAAAAAAAAAAAAAAAACCTCACTGGGAAGTTACCTGCTACCTCCTGGTAGGAAATTATTAAACCGTCCTGATAACCCATGATGGTGCATCCCTCCAGATGCTTCTCCTTAAGGCCAGTCATATCTCATGTGGCTCTCAGATACAATAATCATGTTCCCCTTTTTGCTACGAACTCCCTGTTCTCCAAGACAGTAGTCATTCACACTCTGTGTAATTTGGATTCTTGGCACAGACTCGCTCGTGTTTTCTACCAGGCACTTCAGGGCACTCCCTGGTATAATGGTTACATGGACACAGAACACAGTAAAGGTTTCCAGCTGGCCTGGGTTTACCAGGACAGAGCTGCTGGTACCTCCTGGAAGCTTGCCTAACAACAACCCATTCACCTTGCCACGTTAACACCTTCATCTACAGAGAACTTGTGTGACAATTGTTCACACGCCACAGGGTGAAAACCACCCCCTCCTTCCCCTGCTGCAGTGGGATAATCTTGTAATTGTGTTGGCCTGATGTCAGATCAATACAGTTAAGCACCGACATCTGCATTTCAGTGTAAGCATCGACAGTTAAAAACTATACACGAGGCACCAGCCCACAGCCTCTTAACTGGATTAAGGGCCATTCACTCAGGACTAGCTGTTCCTTAAAGATTATACTCACATGGTGAGAGGAAGCAAATAATTAAGGTCGTTTGGGCACCTGAATTCACAGTACTAGGCACTAAAGGAATAAATAAACTTTTAATTTTACATTCTAACAAAAAAAATGCAGCTCTTTGTTTAGTGCTTGATCTTGGTTTTTCAGCTTCCCAAATGATGCTCTTTTCCTGGTTCTTGCTAAGCCTAGTTCTGCCCAATAACGCTGCACTTTTTATTAGATAGGCTGAAAAAGGCAAAATGATTCGCCTGCCACATGCGGCTACATTCATGAAAGGACTCCAGCGGAGGTAGCAATGCTTCCCTCGAGGATGGCCACACCTATTAAATCCCTCTGTGGCCACATGCAATGGCTTTGCTGAACACAATTTCCTATGGGCTGCACTTCAGGCAATCCTCGCTCTAGAGCATCATCTGGAGCCAGCTGCAGGCATCAGGCTCAATAAGCCAAAAAACCCAAATAGGAAAACCCTGCCAGGGATTCAAACACACCTCAAATAGGGGCAATCCTAAGAGATCTGGTTCCAAAGAATTGCTGTGAAACAACACTTCAGGGAGAATTACACGAAGATAAAGTAGAGCTTTGCAGCTTTTTATACGTACCGTGGTCTAAAACTGATCTGTCTGTAGAGCACTAGGAAACAGAAGCCAAGGGAGAAGGGAAGTGACTGTTACCAGCCGGTGGTTATTTATGACTGCCATCTGTGTCATTATGCAGCCTGTCATGTTGATTTGGGAACTTCAAAGCAACAGCAGGAATAGACACGAGACCTTTTTGCTCCAAACAGACTGACAACTTAACTGACCTGAGCCAAATGAGCTTTTGCTTTTTTGGTTGTTGTTGTTGTCGTCATTACTGCTATTTTGTGGCTCCTAGGAGCCCTGCTGTCAAGCCATGCAGATGAACTGCTCTTGTTCTGAGCTAGTGCTAGAGAAATCCAGGTCTTGTGGTTTTTTTATCTGCCAAGGGATGTTCCTGACAAATTGGACACAGGGATTAGACAGTTAAAGACAGGTCTCTTTGTCTTCCTCTTGGCTCTTCTCCTCACTACAAATAAATCATGGCAGAATTCACTCTGTCTGCAAATGATCTTGTTTGGGAAAGCCAACGCTGATAGTGGCCTGTTACTGGTACAAAGGGAGAGGTCAAATTGCTTTGTGGTGACTTCAGCAGACAGGAGGTGACAATGATGCCCTAGAACATCATTAAAGACTAACAGCCAAGCAGCACTCATGCACTTATTCTCTAAATGATCTTGCAGTTGATGGAATGAAAAACAAAAAAAAACCCAACCAAACAAAAAAAAAAAAAAAACAAACAAAAAAAAACCAAACCAAAACTCATTGTTGAGATGGGAGACACAGAAACTGCTGTACTAGCTCACCCTGGCACCTCCATGGGTGCCCCACCAGCAAGGAAGTCCCAGGCAAAGTGCAAGAAACCTTCAGATGAAATAGTCTCAGACCGGTGTGCTCAGAGAGGATAAGTCATTATGTCTTTGCTGTGAATTAGTGATTGGTGATTGCACTAAGGACTAAAAAGAATGAGAACACATTCTCTCGGTGTAAGATCTGATGTAGCTGTGCCTATCCCTGTGATCCTAACACAGGTCAGCGCTGCCACTTTTGGTTAAAGGTTGACTGTCCCCACGGGACCTGCCATCCATATCCTGCACAGGGCTCCCCTGAAATCTGGAGCATCTCCTAAATTACAGGAAATAACAATCCCAGAAAGTATCCTGCTTTAATTTGCCTGCATCAAAATCTGATGCTGAGTGCATAGTTTAGACACACCTGGAAACTCAAACTGTTTGGGAAAGAGAGGAAAGCGAGGCAGGAACATGCTCTCTTGTGGGGCACAGCCAGGCAAGGCAAAATGAGCACTGCAGGTAGGAAGGAGACAGATGGGAAGGCAGGCAGGGTGAAATGGTGGAGGGCAACCGGGACACTGGTCAACCCCTCATTTCCCCTGGCATCACTACACTTGGTGTTTCCCAAGCAAGACAGCAACACCAGCCTCAAGTTCCAGTTTAGCCAAGCAGATGCCTCAGGGCTTAAATGCAAACACCAGGTTAAGCCACCTCTCTTCTCCAAGACACAAGGCTATGTTTGTAATTACGCCTGCCGTAATGAATTCAGTGAGGAGTGATGGAGCCAAGAGCCACGCTGAAGTGGACTTAGGGCCCTATTACCAAACCGTAGGAATCTCCATTGCGGAGATGAAAATGGACTACTGTAATTTATTGTTTCCTCTTAGTTGGTGTCTAATTAAAGTTATCCTGAGTGAGAAAAGTAGTTATTAATTCCTTCATCCTCTACGTTGGACGGATTTTGGTAGATTGGAGAGGCATGGCCTGGACAGTAAACTCCTGCTTTATGCATCCAGGTGTCTCTTAACATTTTCCTAAATGCTGTTGTAATTAATTTCCCTCACTTGAAGGAAGTTTAGTTCAACCACAGAACTAGCTCCTTCTGGTTCTTGGTGTTTTGTCTTTTTTAAATAGCTGTAACACTTGCGCTTCTCCATGCCTTTTGTATAGTATTGGATTATAGTGAAAGTCTTTGTTAGCAGCTTAACTGCTTCATCCCTAAGCTCATTTGTACCTCTGGGATGAATACTAAGCAATACTTGGTGACAAGCTGCTGGGTCAGGGTCTGAAGAAAAGCCTGCTGGAATCAGGGAAAGGCACTTGGTGGGGGTGATCTGCCTGCCTCTCTTTGAGCAGCTAATTGCCTGAAGTGCCAATTTACAGAATATGGCTGCTGCCTCTCTCCTTAAGGGATAGAGCCAGGAGTATCCTGCGAGCAATTCAGGTGTTAGGGAAGCTGGATTACATTCTGGAAATACTCGTCTCTTTCCTTTGAAGAGAAATGAAGCCCAGATTTAAAGTTAGGTGCCTCTCTGCTCAGCCTGAGTTAGGTGAATTGCAACCTTCCTGCCTAACCCCGTGGTAGAATAACACCCTGACTTCCTTGTCTGATCTAGCACCTGGGGGTATGATATCCCGATCTCTGTGGGACATTGCCTGGAAAAAACATGTCTTGCAAAGGTAACTGCCAAAAAGCCCTTACACTCTCTTCTTGCCCCTTCCTCCAAATTTCTACCCTACTTTTCTGCCTCACATACTTCGTTCTTTCTCCTGGCTTTTCTTGTTCTGCACTTCCCTTTGCAGGAGTAACTTCTTTCCTTCAGTAAAACCTGGAGCACTGCTACGTAACCAAAACTGTCCTTCCTCCTTTTTGTTTGGTTTATGGGCCTTTTCAACAGGAACCTTCTCACCCTTGGTATTTATACACTGCCTTGCACATTAGTGTTACCACGTGTATAATTCGAAGTGTAGCACTCACAGATCCTGTGCTGGGAAGAGAATCCCACGTGCAGTTGACCTTCTTCAAACTACTGTCCATGAGGTAGTTTTGGGAAAGGGACCACACTGACCTCAAGTTATTCTAGTGATCACCCCAGAGACAGAAATAAATTCATCCCACTACCCTTTACAAGGTTATCCCTTCCCAGGAACCGTTTCAGTCTGTGCCCTAATGCACATTATCAACCAGACTCAGCAGTCCGGTTTTCTATTCAAGTTTTCCTGTCTGACTTTCCATTGTTTCCCCATCCGCTCCAGGGCAAGTCTTTGTGAGGCACAGATTTAAACTACCTGAGGGATCCATATCACTGTTAGTGAACATTTCTGGATAGTTACCTGGTATGATGCCATTATGGCCACAGAAAATGCAGTTGTGGACCTGTACTATGGCTGAGAGCATTAATGGGGGATAACACACCATGGGGAGTGGGGTCAGGAACTCACCTTCTGCCTCAGGCAAGCTGGTGCAACCTTTGCTAGTTGGGAGTGTCCCCACTGTCTTTGTCCTTGCAGTCCTCAGGCTGGTCTCCTTCCCTGGACTGTGATTTTGCTGTGTCCTGCTCAGATACAACAGTCTTGTCAGAGTTGGCTTTCCCTGGGTGCAAAGGCTCTCCTCTGTGTTCAGTGCCTTCAGCATCTTCACCTCCTTTCAGTGCAAGTGTCTGCCCCTGAAGGGCAGTGTTTTGGGTCATTTCCTCCCCTCTTTTTCTCACCAGCTGTCCTTGACCTGCATCCAGTCTGTCTCCTGCTGCTCTGTCCAGCTTTCCTCCATGGCTGTTTGAAGAGTCCTCAGTGGACTGTTGCTCTGAGGCTGTGTTTTTCTCTAAGCCAGCTCCGTCTAAATTCGAGCCCACGGGCAATGACAAGGTCTCCTCACTGCCATGCCCGGTGGCTTGCACAGTGCTTGGGAGGCTGTTCTGTGAAGCAGTGCTGTTAGTGCTCTCCTTCTCCTGGGCGATGTCAGCAGTGCCAGGCTTCCCACTGGCATCTTCCCCAGCGCTTTCCTTACTTGGCTTGAGCCCTGGCTCTGAGTCACCTGTGCTGGCCACAGACACCTCCACGCCAAAGCCCTTCACTCCTCTCTGCTCCTCCTTCTGGCCATTGTAGGCAGACTGGACCTTTCCACTTCGTAGCCTTTGTGATGAGGAGGCCCCATGATCTTGGGGGCTTGGCTGTTTCACCTTCTCCTCCAGCTCAGCAGTGCAGTTCTCTTCCACCCCCTCATCACCTCTGCTCTTCCGCTTGTCCATACCAAGGCTCCTCTGAGAAAAGAAGCAGGTATTTATTTCAGCTTATTAAAATACCAGTATATAGTATTCCTCGTCTATGATGGTTCTTGAAACTTGGGGAAAAATTTGCAGAGGCCATTAGAGGACATGAAATGATGTAGGTGGAGAAGTGTTCAGGGCCCTGAATAAGTGGGGTGGTTGTGCTGACAGAGAGTCAGTGCAAAAAGTGAGGTTGCTCTCACATCATGCCATCTGGAGAGTGCTAACAGGGGGTATGTTTATCCCAAAATAGAGGTCTCCCAGCTCTGCACTGGCTGAGAGCCTCCAACTTTCCTGTCAGTGCATGTTTTGAGAAAAGTCAGCCTTGAACTCATGAACTCACCTGGCTGTCAAGGTCATCCTTCAGAAAAGACATGTCCTCGCCTTCTTTTGCATCCCATCTGTCAAGAAAAAAAAATATCAGAATTTAGGCCTTCAAGCCCTCATATTGCAAAGCCACTCTCCCTGCCTGACACCTGGGTAGGAATTTCTACCAGGGCCATGCATTCCTTGTCTGAGCCCCTGACCAGGCAACGAGAGGCAAAGGTGGCAGACATAACTGGTCCTGTTCCTTTTGGCACCGGCAAAGCAGTCAGCCCATCCTGAGACACTCATCTGAGGCCACTAAATCTTAATGAACTGGTTGTTATAATTCTAAATGTAATGAAAACATAAAATCCAATTGCCCAAACAGACAGTTGTCATTAGACTAATAAGATATACAGTTTGCTAATGCTGATGTCTGCCAGTGTTGTCTGCTTGCCTGACAGTGCCCAAGTGCCCCAGATCTCCACAACGGCAGACGGTGAAGGATAAAATTGCTTTGAATTAGCTTGGGAGCCTGGGGAGGTGGACATGTGCAAGCAGACTGCAAGAATAGCCATAAGGATCAGACTGAAGATCCAGCTAGCCCAGGCTCTCTTCCCCTCTCAGCATCCCTAGCAGAGGCTTAGGGTAGAGTTTGGAGAGAGGACAAATGTATTTAACACCTCCCCAGTACCCTACCCAGCTTCCAGAAATGTGCAGCTCTGGGATTTCCTGAGCCTGAGATGGTATCTCTCTGTTGAGTCACGCTCAGTAGACAGTCTCTTCCAAGGATTTGTGTAAGTGCATTTTGACCCCATCATAAATTTGCAGCAGCTACAACATCCTGTGTCAAAGAGGGCCACAGCTTAGTTAAAGGGTGCATGACAAACTGCTTTATTTTGCTTGTTCCAGTTTGCTAGGTTGAATATAAATCTGAATTTGCCCATACAGTGCTACTGGTTGGGGAGGGGTCTTAGTAACCCTTACCTTCTTATATGTGTGGCTGCTGAGTTATATCTCACACATAAACATTCTATAAATATACATACATATATATATAATATATACCTATTTCTCCCTGTGCCACACTCTTAAAACACAACATGTGCAAAGGTGTGTGAGATTTAATTCTTCTCTAGACAGACTCTGCTGGGCTTACTGGCCTCCTCATGTGGCAAATTTGGACCAAGATACAAAAAATGAAAATGCGCTTTGAGCTGACTGCAGAGTCAGGCATTTCCAGAGGCAAATGTGTTACAGTGACCCCATGTGCCCTTGTGAAAATTGTGTGGGAATTACCATCACAGGCTGCACCATATTATCACACTAAACTGCTTCACACTGTCTTTTTTTCTAGTGAAGTCCTTAGGGCAGATGAACTGCATTTGCAAGCACCTCAAGGCTCTCTCAGAGTGCAGAGCTGGGTACAGCACCCTTAGTAAGCCGGAGGACGAAGCAGCTTGGAGCAGTCCTACAGGGCTTAGAGCCAGAGCCAGCACCCCAGCCACAGCCAGGGAGGTCTTCTCCCAAATACCAGGTAGGTCCCCACCACCAGCTGTTCCAGCTCAAAGAGCAAAAGGGCCCCTTTTCTTGGAAGTAGCCCCCACCAGTGGGGTTGTATTTTCAGTGCCACCCTGCAAAAGCTCTGACTTTCAGGCTGTATGGGCAAAGCTCATCACACACAGTCAACCATGTTAAATGTCAGCATGGGCTGCCCTCGTGCTCAATTCTGCTCTGCACTCAGCATTGGTGCTGGTGGGACCAGTGACTGCTTTCCCCAGACAGATAGCTAAACAGAAGAATGACTTGCTGACTGCAGGTTTCTGCCTCTCCCTGCTCTGTCTGCTCTACCACTGCACGTTTCCTGCAGAGCCAGCCTGGAACAGACCACCCCCACAGGTCTAAACACAGCCAAAACTAGCTAGACAGCAATTTTGAAATATTCAGCATCTCCACCTGGCATGTTCCTCCTCCCCATCATTACCACTAACACACCAGTATGTTATTAACCACTAATGTGCAATGAAAATACTCAGCACATACCCTAGCATGGCTAGTGCTATCCATGGGAACTTGCCTCCAAATTCTTTATGGGGTAAGATGCTGCTGGAAGTCACCACCAGATGCTCCAAATGGGTCTTGCCACTGCTGTTGGGTTGCTTGGGCTTAAGTGGGAGAGGAGTCTCTAAGTGATAAAGGGCAGCTAGGAGTGAGGGTAAGGAACATTCAGCACCCCAAAGGCTCCCTGAGCTGAGGTTTGAAACAAGAGGAAAAGCCTCAGGAATGGCTCTTCCCAAAGAGAAGCAGTAGAGCAAAGGATGCTCTTCCAGTTTCAGAGACCACAGTCACAGGATCCCTTCTAGATCAACAGATGACACAGAAGATGCATTGAAGAGGAGATAAGAAAAATAAAAGTCCACAAGGTGAGATGGATGGACAGAAGGAGAGCTATTCTAAAGTGATTCTGGCAGGATGAAGCAGTTGGATGGTGCTGAGGGGGGTGTCCGTGCTGCAGCAGGAAAAGGTTTGGCTTCCTCATTTCCCGTGATTTTCCCAGTTCCACAGGTGAAAGGCAAGGATTTTATGGCATGATTCCACATTGCAGCTACTCACATCAGTAGTTTTTAAGATACTTCTTCCTAGTTTTGAATAAGTATATAAATATGAAGTACAGCAAACAAGACTGAAAAAATAAATCAGGACACCTCCTACCCCCATTTCTAATGGAGGATGTTCAGGGAAGAGTACGATCTACTGTTTCACTGTGAGGTAAAATGAGGAAAAAAATAAAAAGTACCAGAATATACTATTGTCTCCACAGAGACATTCTTTATAAGATTTTATAATTTCATCAGCAAGAGCATTTAGGCATCTAAACAGGATTCTAGCACCAGCCATTTTGGGGCCTTAAAGCCTTTAAATGGATATGAATAATATCCTGATTGAACTCAGCAGCCCTAGAGGAGTTTGATGCACTAAAAAGCCTGCAAGCCTCTGCACTGGAGGCAGAAATGTACTGGAAAACGTACCTTCTCAGCTTGTTGTGAGAAAAGAAACACGCTGTGGAAGCCCATGACAAGCCAGGCATCCTCTCTGCAACACATCCTCCCTGCAACGCATCCTCTGGGCCTCCCAACAGAAGGTGCTAAACCTCGCTGTGTGATCTGTCTAGCTGACCTTCCCCTCTCTCCAGATAAAAAATGCATCCCAGAAACTGTCACTTTGAACCGGTCGACATTGCTGGCATGCTTGGACTCTGCTGTGCTTCAGGCAGGCATGTCCAAGGCATGAGGGATCTTAAGTCTGCTGGACCCACTGCATAAATCTCCTGCTAATGGGGGGAGGTGAGAAAAGCAAGGGAATAACACTGTTATTGCAGCAGGTAGATGTGCTGATACCCAGGTGTTGCCCTACTCAGTTTGAAGCCGTGCCGGCTGTCCTAGCTGCTGGCAGAGGAGGTGCCTTCAGTGACCTATCCAGGCTCTGGAGCAGACAAGGCACACAGAGACCACTGCAGGATGAGCCTCCAAGGGCCACTAACGAGGGGCAGCTCTATGAGATATCATCAAACAGCACTCCAAGCCATCAGAGGCTCTGAGGCAGTCTGTACAAAGCATTAAATCCCAGACTAACGTTATTCCTTTGAATTTCTGCCATAAGACAGCTAGCCAAGGCATTCCTTCTAGGCATGGCTCAGAACTCAGCATAGAAGGAAAAAGTGGCTTAAGACCCCGTTAGGATTTCTGGAAAGTAGTCGGCATCTGCCTGTCGCAGGCATGCTTTGGGGTATAAGTCATGCTTTGCTGAGGAAGAGAACTGGAGACAGGGGAGTGGGCAGGCTCCCATCCCTTCCCCTGGGCCGGACCAGAGCAGAGATGGAGCCTGAGGCAGGACCCGAGCGCAGGCATTTGAACACAGGCCATGGCATGGAGGTAGCAGATCGTAGTGCGATCCGTCCGCCTGCTCTGCCTATAAAAGGGAAGCAACAAACTCTCCGTCCATTTCAAGAAGCCGCTCAGAATCAACACTGCTCTTTCATGTACAGTCTGCTTGCAGCACACATTTAACAAGCCACATGCATCTGAATTGTACAGCTAACATGTCCACTGAGCAGCAAAGAATAACTGCATTTGGATTAAACTTTAAGATGAGGCACTGGAAAGCATGAGGTTGATCATGTCATCAGGTCTTTCTAACATCATCATTATTTTCTAAAGGTTTTTTTAATATTTTGCTGCTTGGGAGAAAGAACAGGGGTGGGCCACATCTGGATGAGCTAACTCGCTGATCCCACACCTTATCCTGCTCCTCCCTGAAGGGAACATCCCAGCTCCCATGGTGAGACAAGATGCACGTGGCCAACAGCTGAAGAAGTGACCAGAATAAAACATTTGCACCACCTCATGAAGCTCCCAGGGCAGCCTCCTCTGCGCCTTCCTACATCCCCAGGCCCTGAGGTACAGGGAAACAAGACTCCAGTAGGAAGGAGGGAGAAAGGAAGAAAATCATCTCTGCAGTGGGTATAACTCACGTTCCCAGCCAACACCAGTGGAAACCATGAACTGCTTGTTCTGTGCAATTTCTTCCAGCCCTCAGGAGCACTAACATCTCCCTGTCAATGAGACACAATCTGCTCTGCAACAATAATCTGTCCTGTAAACCCTTCTCCAAGCAGAGGGGGATGGCACTAGATGTGTATTTTAAAGGAACAGATGGATCAAAGTCCAAAAGAAAGGTGTCTTAGGAAACAGTGTTCTCTGATTAGCTTAGAGGAGACCCAGACAACCGAGAATAAATGACCCGTTTAAGTTCAGAGGGAAGTGGAGACAGCAGTGCTGCAGCAGTGGCCTACCCCCTGAATCCAGTTGAGCCCAAAACTGGTGTGTGATTTTAGGAAAGCTGTGTTCTGTAAGAAGTGCTATCTTTTAGAAAGGATGATGACCTATAGTCAGGTAATTTGTGGCTGTTTAAAATCCTACAACCAGTGTTGGAGTAGTAGTGTCTGCTCAACAGCTGCCTGTGCTCTAACTACCTATAGTATCAGGTGGAAATATTTTTTCCTCTTGTTCCTCTCCTCCAGTGCAACTGTTGAAGTAATTCCTGTGCATAAATCTTCTTTCTGTGTCTCTCTGTCCACCTCCCTGTCCTCAGTTTTCAGTTCTTCCCTCACAGCCTTCTAGCCTGCCCCTTTTTAAATGTTATCTCCCTCTGTCTAGCTCCCTGTCCATTTTTTAATTCTTCCCTCTCTGCGCTGTAGCCCATCACTTTTTAAATTTTATTTCTGCCTCTCTCTCTGACCAGCTCCCAGTCCTTCTTTTTATTACCACAAATAACCAGATTTCAGTGGCAAACCTCAGATGTGGAAACTCAGATGTGGAACTCCTGAGGGTAGTTGCTGAGGTCTGGGAGTTTGGTTTGGCCCTGATGGGTTGAACAGCAGTGTTCAGCCTGCAGTCTGAAGCCTTCTCAGGTATTTACACAAAGAAAATCTATTGGCGTGCCCATCCCACACATCCTCTGGGAACTCCTGTAATTCTCCGGTGCTGCAGTCAGGGGCTAGGGGAGAGCAAGCATGAGCACAGCTCAGCAGCTTTTCTTTCCCAAGTATATTTTATTGGGGATGGAGCTGAAGAATGGAAAGGGATGGAATGTAGCTTACAAACAAAGCTAACAATTATTTGCATGCTGTTGATCCTATTCTTCATCAATTTATCAGAATTAAATTTCATTTTAAAATATATGATTAACTAACAGGGTTTGGGAAGACAGAAGATAAACCATCTTTACGCTGTAAGTAGATCCCAGTCCACAGCATAATTAGCTGAGAGTTATGGCTGCTCAGGTGCATTTCCTTGAAGCACAGCCACTGGAAACAAAAGCAACATTATAAGATCTTCAGGCTTAATACAGCACCAGGCTCTGCATATTAGACCTGCTACTGTCCTGACAGAGCAGAATCCTGCACACACAGACCCTGCCTAACACTCCTCATTTCAGCCAAGTAACAGCAAGGAGGAGCTGACCTCCAACTAACTAATTTCTTCTGGAAAATGCTGTGAGCACCCCTATGAAGCACATATCTATGCATCTGTTTAACTGCATGGTCATAACTGACCTGGATGGTTGAAGAATGCTAACATTAAATGCTGCTGGAATGGTTTTGTGTCTGGATAAATTAAGAGGCTTGGGGTATTTAGTCAGCTCTTCATCCTTTTGTTGCCTGCTGAAGGGCATGGCAGTTTTGTGAAGACAATCACTGTTATTAAATAGTCAGTGTGGCTCCAGGAAACTGGAGACTGCGCTGAAATGTAATTATGGAGAGCAGTAGGGGAGGGGCAGCCCCTGGGAGGATGTGGGCAAACCTGTAAAATGCACTTAGTTTTGCTGATATACTGAAATTACTTCTGTGCAAATTTCTATATTGCTATGTGCTGCCCACAGCTGGCAGGAGCAGGCCGCTTCCCTCCTCACCAGGTTAGAGATGTTTAAGAAGAGATGTTTAAAAAAAGGCATCTGTACCACAGTATCAATCCTAATCACTATTGGTTCAGCTGGGAAATATCTTGGGAGGTGGCTCTTCCATATCAGCAGAGTGTGGGAGTCAGATAAAATGTGTTCAGAAGCTTGCTGGGACACGTGCCAGGGCTACCCAAACCTGGTCACAGAGTAACCCTGACGCCCCAGGCTGTTCTGCAGAGAGTTGATGCAGTGGGTCCAGACAGCACTGATGCCCCCCACAAGTACCACAAACCCCACTAAGTGAATTCCTGCCAGACATGTTCCCAGATCTGAACAGCTGCCATTGTGGAACAATATCTTTTTTTGTCTGTCCCTCTTCACAATTAGGCAAGGAATGAGACCTGGGCATGCATATTGCAACCACTAGCTGACGGCACTGCTGCCCACCTCCTTACCTTCTGGCTCTGCCAGTCAGTCTGTCCTTTCCTTTGGCTCGGCTGCTCACAGCAGGCACTGTTTTCGGACCAGGATCGCTCACATTCACTCCATGATGTCCTCCGCCTAGAAGATAGGTTGGAAATGCCATGCAAGAGCAAGCAGAACCAGTTGATGGACCACTGAAAGGGCCAACATCATTGTATCATTGGAAAGTACCTCTGGAGCTGTATGCATACTGTCTGTATAGTTTCTAAAGTAGTAAATACAAATTGAGAATTTAGGGATGTTTCTTCTGCATTTTTTATTCCAAATGCCAATTATAACTTTAAATCTTTTTCTTTGGATACAGTCTCTCTTGTGCTGTTCTTGGAAGACTTGTTCTTGTTCTCCCTTGCCACACAGCACAGACTGTACCACACAGCTATGAGAGCGGCCACGTAGTGCGTTCCCAAAAGGCACTCCAAATGTGGGGGAGTGCCTGGAGAGAAATCTCTCCATGAGGGCATATCAGAGGGGCCCACATTTAGTGGGGCAACACGGCCGAGTCATGTGGTTTACTCACCTCTCCCGTCGGGAGGAAAGGACCTGTGCTGGAATTTCCTTGCGTTTCTTCCCCCTGAAAGGACAAAGCAAAGTGTTCATGGAAGTGAGTGAGGTTCTGTCACAGACACACAGAAGAAATTTGGTGTTCAAATAGGGTGTCACAAGGGAAAGCTTTGTTCTGCCAGTCCATCTCCTGAGAAACAGGAGTCATGATGGACTTATGCTAGTAAAGAAGCCAGCATGTGCCACAGGGATCAGAGATGATGTGCTCTGGAATAGGATTGCCTCTCAAACCAGTGTTTGGGAAAGGAGGCAGTGCTGAGCCTCCGTATTGTGTTGTACAAGGTTACAGAAGCCACTGCTCTCCCTGGGAAGGTCAAAAGCACTAGTACCCAGATGCTCAAATCCCATCCCCTGAGCACTCTGCAAAGCAGAGTGGGCTGAGACCCCAACACTGCGCTCAGAGGCGTTTGACCAGGAAAGCAGAGTTTCACAACTGACAGCCACAAGAGCTGCTGTGGCACTGGGATTCGCACGATCGGCATTCACTAGCGTCAGGACAGAGTCTAGGTGTCCCTTGCCAACCTTTCTTATTGCTGGGATTATCCAAGGCTGGCTCCCCATCCTTAACAAAGTCCTCTTCAAACCTGCAGGTTAAAAACAGGCATCGTCAGACCTGACCATTCTCCTCCAGTGTGCAAAAGCGTGGGCAGGAGACCTTGAGACAAAGCAGGCTCCAGCTTTCAGCCCTTCTGCACCTGCCCACTGGCAAATATGTGCAGGTTTATCAGCAGGAGCTGAAACTGCATGCACTAACCAGGAGAAATGAGGCTGTGAGGCAATTCTACCCCAAAGGAGAACCTCTAAAACCACCAGTACTCATACGTATATATTTAATCCTGTGAACACCCAGGAAGCCTATAGATGCCTGCAGTGTAGCTGTGCCACACCCAAATGCAGCTTCCCAAGCCTCCAAACACAGTCTGAAGTAGCTTCAGGACTTGTCATTTTAGATCAGACTTGTTTGGTTGATTTCTAATCTCGCTTGTTTTGTGTTATGGCTTTTCTCTTAAAAATTGGTATGCAGGAAAACAGTAGGGCTCAGAGCTGTCTTGCCAGCAACACTCGGCACCCACTTAAGTTAATTCACCTTTAACTATTGGGGTCTCAGTGACTGCAAATCTATGTATTTGGTCCCATTCCTCAGCCAAAAGATTGTCCCATCTATCTGCCCTGTACAAACTCTTATCAGCAAGCCTATGTAACATTCCCTAACTCCACACACTATCAAAACCTTATCCTGCTGAAGGTGCCAAGTTATCCTCCAAAGCTTTCTAGCTGGTGTGGCCCAGAAGAACAAGCACAGTTAGAGGGACAGTGTTTAAAGCAGGGAAGTGCCAGACCCGATTAAGAGCTCTCCCATATTGCTGTGCCCAGCATTTCCCCCATATCATACAGGGGCCCCTTGAAGTGATCCCCTCACACCCCAGTGCCTGAACAGGCTGTTTATGAGGCATGGAGGATTTAGGCACGTCGGCCTGTCCTGTGATTGAAAAAGAGAAACAAGCAGGGCAGTGAGAAAACCTGTGGACTAGCAATGAGAGTTTGTCCACCTCTGTTTCTAGAAGAGCACCTGCACCCTCCTGACACTGGATTTGTCCATGTGGAAATGGAGAGGATCTTCCAGATGTAGACTGATTAATGCTCCCCTCCCTCCCACAGTCCATGTCCTGGTGGGACCAAAGGCAGGCAATCTTTTCAGCACACAGTATCTCCTATCAGGGTAGGAAAGCTCATGTCAGAAAGACAATAGGAGAATTACTCTGATACCTGTCCCACTGACAGACATGGTCAGGGGAGGAAGACAGCAATGTGGATTAGGCAGGGAGAGGCACATAACAGCATGGGATTTGATCAGCAGTAAATATCTGCACAAGATCTCGTCCCTGGCTTTAGACGGCCTGTTGCTGACAAACCACCCCAGGACAATGGAAGACCTACATGTGCTCTGACTTCTCCACATCCCAAGCCCGTCTCCACTCGCCCTTCGCGTTCTTGTGACGTGCCAGTCGCTCCAGGTCAATCTGATCTCGCTCCCTCTTCCAGCGTATGTACTCCGAGCGTTCCCGTCCAGTCATGGGGAAACTCAGGTCTCCAGGGCTCTTCTGGCCTGACTTCCCACCGTCCTGGTGGGGGCAAAAGAGCTTCCTGTTAGTAAAAATGTCTGAAAGAGCTGCATTCGGTATACTTTGTACTGTCACCACCAGAAATGCTCAGCAATATTTGAAAACAACTTGGAGCAAGGTCAGCTTCTCTCCCTAAAGCACCGTGCACACAGAAAGGCTCACTCTACCCATTGCCTAGATATACCGGTCTCAGGGTTGGCTGACTGTACCGAGAGGAAAACTGAAGCAGGAAGAAGCTGCATGGCTTGCTTGGAGTGATGTCGTAAATCCATAGCCAAAGCAGAACAAGCAACCATTCCCTCCCAAGGGTATTCAACAATGATAATGATAATTTGTGGCAATTTATTTCTGAAAAGTTATTCCACACCATCCAGACTACATGAAAAGTGTTGCATTTCGAAGGATTAAAATTGCTTCCACCTCAACCCCTGCATTTTGCCATCTGGATACATTCTTGTTGCCTTAATGAGATGGGGCTTCACTGCTGTTTCCCTAACCTGAACCACGTTTCCATGGTTCTTGTAGCCGTTCTAACCACCTGATCGGTGAAGCAGCTGCCCTAATATGTAGTTTTTCGTTCTAGATATTCAGTACCTGATTACAAACTTTTAAAGCATGCCCCTGTTATTCTGTGTGCAAGTGACCACAGGATTGACTCGCCCCATTTGTACTTGCAGTCACTTGAACGACAGGCATAAATTAGACAGTGGCTTTCACCTGCTGTGTGCCTGCTCACCTCAAGGTTTTCAAATCAAATGTTCTCAATTTTTCCTGGAAAAGGCACTTTGCTAAGGTTTACTTATGGCATAGAGTTAGCTCCTGGAGCGCTTGCAACATCTCCCAACAGAATTTGAGAGGTTGAACTCTCACATAAGATGCAACAGGCTGATGAGTCCCCCCAGCTGAAGACTTTGGGACACTTAAAATCAAAGTTATGCCTATGAAATCCTTCACACTGACAGGGTTGAGAAGGAAGACAGCATTCTGTGACCACCAAGCATCCACAGGAGCCCACAGTCAGAGGGCTGGAGCCAACCCTGTGCCCAGGGCACACAGCACTGCGAGCGCCACCAGCAGCATTCTCAGAGCAAAGGGGCTCTTTGCCTTCCTTGCTTTCAGCCTCTTGGTTCATCACTTCTCCTCCTCCTGATAGATTAGCTTAGAGCTGCCACTGTTCACAGTTTTAAAGCTGAATGAAAAGATAGTTCAGAGCTGATGAAGTGATGTGAAGGGAGGTGGGGGGTAACCCAGCTGTCAGGTTTATGGATGCGGAGGAATCAGGAGCCAACTGGCCATGGTGTGTTGTCAAGCAACACCATGTAACGAATACCTTAGTGCAGAGCTGAGTCCTGGTGTGCTAGTTACAAGAGGGTAATTCATCATTTCTTACACACGCCCTTCCACACCAGCCACCCTCAGCCCTTCCCCAAACAGGAATTAACTCCTCAGCGTTGCACTGCAGATAAAAGCAGAGCAGCGGGGAAGGAATGACTGAAAGCCTTGTTACCATGGAGACCCACCCGTGTGGGCCGGAGATGGGGTGGCAGTAATTGCTCCTCCATTGGTTAGCTGGCAGGAGCTGGAGGACCTGAGGCTGCATCCCAAAGAAGGGAGAGATGAGGTCTGCAGAAAGGCGAGGAACAGCAGGACAAAGCAAGGGCAAGCCCTGCTCCCTGGGTCAGGGCACAGGCCTGGAGATGCTCCCCACAGCTTCCAGCCCCACAGCACAGCGGGCCCTGCCCTGATGAGCCCAGAGAGGGGAAGAGCGCAAGAGCCAACAGCACACAGCTACTGACTAAGAGCAGGGCTCAACCTCCCAAGCTGGAGGGCAAGGGAAGTATTCTGCACCATTACCTTGACCCTTAGCAGAGGGGAAGCCAAAAGCGAGGGTGAGACTGAAGCTGATGCCCGTGTGCTCTTGCGGGCAGGTGCAGAGATGGCCATGGGGCCCACAGAGCTGGGGAAGCTGGTGTCTGAAGAGGGGCCCACCTCAACTGCAGCATAGCTGTGGTTAGCTGGGCCACAAGGCTATCCTGCTCCCCTTTTCTGCTCTGGGGGGCTCAGCTGGAATTAATGTTTAAGAGCCCATCTGTGTCCTCCTAATGAATCACATTGAGGCGGGGCTATTCAATTTGTGCTCCATTAATTAAGAGCATCTGCAGGCTCGGGGGAGCCAGCGTGTTGTCCAGGGTTTGCATTAAGCAGCCAGTGGGAAGGCCTGTGCTTTAATTTACCTCCATCCCAGTCAGCTTCTGCTGAAGTGAGGAGCTGTAGCTAATACAGCCTGAGCCTTTCAACCCACAAGCAAATGGTTTTGGGAGAGAAACCAGCTAGGGCTGTGCTGCCCCATGGGTGAGCACATCACCCTTCCTATCATCCCTGCTGCTGTGCCAGGGACTTCAGCAGCCACAACAAGGTTTGAAGGGCAGGTCCCCCGTCACCTCTTTCCGGTGCTACTTTGCTTCAGGTGTGTTAGCTGCTCAGCAAAGCTTTGGATGATGAGAGGGGTGAACACTGGGGACCACACCAGAGCACACTGCTGCCTCCTTTAGGGCTGAGGCAACTCTTACTGGTGGGGAGGTACATCCTACTGGTTTCCTCCTCTAAAACAAGGGTCCCTCTCAGGGACATAGGGCCCCACTCACCTTCCGGCTGTGCTCACTTTCTGGGCCTCTGTCACTGTCTGATCTCCGCTTCTCTGCTGTTCTCCTCTCCTCCGCCTGCAAGAGCGCAGACACAGGAATTACTTCAAGGATTAAGCAAGGACTCTTGGCAGAGGAGTCAGTGCCTGACCCTGTGCCCACCAGGACATGTAAGAACTGCCCTGAAAAGGTCAGCAAAAGGGAAAAGATTGGTTTCTTGGGCTCTGAATCAAACTGATGTGGTAAAAAATGAAGTCAGAAAGTAAAGGATGTATGAGAAAAGGGGATGTGTTCCCACTGGTCCCTCCTCCCAAACTAGAGGCAGAGGTATCCTGTATGGTCCCATTTCTTTCCAAGGCAGACCACCTTTCAGGTACCTTTTCATATTTGGGCCAAAGACCCAGCTTACGATTCAACTGTACGAGAGCTGGGAGCCCATCTGAGATGCAGCTAAAAGCCAGCATGGTAAAGTTGGGAGTGATTTTTGTCCCTGTCGAACATGGTGCCCTTCTACTGGGGTCCATCCTTGCTTCTGCTGGGTTTAGCCATGCTGCCACCAGATTGTCAAATTCTGCTCCAGTGTTGATATCCCCCTGCCTGGCAGGAGGTGAAAATTAGCCCCTCTGTCTTAATGAACTACAGACACTAAACACGAGGCATGCCAGGGACCAGCTCTCTGCCCCTATGTGGAACTGATAATACAGAGACAGCCATGTCAGTGGCTGGGGTGGGATCACAGTGAGCCTTAGCAAAGTAGTCTGCAGAGCATAAATATCTTTTTAAAAAGGCTTTGTGTCCTGGTTAGCGAGTATCATGAGGGTGCCACCAGGAGGGCTGCTTGCCATTGCCTGCCCCCCACGCTGCTGAGCCCCTCAGGGCAGGGGGTGGGTGCTTGCCTGGGGCTCTGCCCTGGGGTGGCCACAGGCCTGCGTGAGCGGCTCCTGCTCCCACCCGGACGCTCCCATGGGACGTGATTTGCAGCACGGTGCCTGCCAAGTGGCACAGCATTTATCACGGCAGCGTCCCCCCGTTTTGTAACCGTACATGGCAGCCCTGGGGCTGCCTTGCACAAACGCTGCCACGAGCAGAGAGGCTCTGGCATGCGGTAGCCCAGTGGGCCCCCTCGTGCCCAGCTACGGGGTCGGGGAGTATGTGGGGCTGAGATTATCATCCTGCCATTTTGCACCGCCAAGCAAAACTGAAACACAAAGAGGAAAGTCACAGCACAAACTGCCAGGTCAGCTGTTCGAGAAAGCGTCAGTGCAGTGAGGTCCAACCCAGGCTGGAAGCAGGACTTTTATTCCAGTCATCTGGCAGCCCCAGGTTTAGCCCGGCATCACGGGGCTGGATGTGGGAAACTCAGGGTGCCAGTCTGTGGGCTCTGCCCAGCCTCCCAAAGCAACTCATCCCCACTGCAGCCTGTTCCCGTGTACCCAGTGGGATTGTGCAGGGAGCGAGCTGGGGGTTGTCTTTTGGGGGTTTGTCTGCATGTGCTAAATCTGAGGCAGGTGGGAAGTGTGACCACATAGTCAGTGCTCATGGACATTGCAGTCAGTGCACAACACCTTCACTGGTCTGACTGGTGTGAAGCTGGTGTAGCTCCAGTCCAGGTGGAAGCTTGTGTACACAGATCCTTGGAAATAACGAGGAAGATGCCAGCTATATTGTCCTAGGACTTCTCAGCAAAGATTTGGGGAAAAATGCAGAGGGGTCTGTGCTGAGAGAAGCCACCCCTCACCATATCTTGACCTGTTGCAGTCAGGATATCGTGAAAGGTGATACTGGGTATTTATTTCAAAAGGTTGCTGCAAAAACTTATGTAACCAAAAATGCTCCCTCCAGGCTCAAAGTCAACTACTCGTGCAGCCCTGTTTGAAGAACCTAGTAGTGAGGGATCTAACGAGTCTCTGCAGTCCCAAACTGAGACCTTGCATTTATAGAGAGATTAAATCAGCGGAAACCTGGAAATTTTGCTTATTTGAGGAGGCTGGCTGGGGAGCAAGGTGCAGATGGATGTTTAGCCTTTAAAGCAGCTGTGAAAGAAACACCACTTTAGAAAGAGTATAACAGAGCCAGCTGCTGCAGAAGAGCTGGAGCCCCTTGGTCCCTGGGGGAAACCTTGTGTGGGAGGAGAGACAGGAGAGAAGGAGCACTGACTGCCTTGGAACGTCCAAAGACAGTCAGACATAATTGATGGGGAAACTGAGGCAGGGAGCTGCATGGGTGTGCTTATTGTTTCATCTGAGTCTGCATATTTCTCAGGCAAGCTCATGCAAAGAATGATTCGGTTTGGACCCTTTACAATGCCTGATTGTGTCTCCAAAGACAGGAACCGGAAAGCCAGAGCATCCGCACAGCCAGAGCACTGAGCCAGGGTGCGCATAAGCTGCGGGGGGAGCAGCGAGCCTCTGCCTGCCCGCAGCCCAGCGCAGCTTGACTTCAGCCCCATCCCTGCCAAGGAGCAGCGAAGAGCGAGCCCGTGCCCAGGAAATGTGCTGGGACAGCTGAGGGACTGTGCTGCAGCTCACCAGACATGGGAGAAAACGCGGCTCCTGCGTGGCTGGCTGGCACTGGAGACCTCCAGCCCGGCGGCTGTCCCCTCCTGGCACCAGCTCTTCGGTGCGCACCACATATCGCTCTGGCACACAGACACTGTACAACTCAACATCCTTTTACCCCCTCACTAAAAGACAGGCTGCCTTTTTCCTTAATCTGCTTCTATTTTTGCTTCTCAAAAGGCACCGTGGAAAATGGAGAAGACTGAAAAAAATCTCGTTCTTTTCTACCAGGAAAGCAGGTCTGAACTGTGCAGTTAGGGGAACAGGGGTAGCTTTGCTTTTGCACCGGCTCCGGAGCAGATTCTCGCATTTGCTCCGTGCTGCCCCAGAGCTGCTGTTAGCCTGTTATGACACACCCAGGCCATGGGGAAGCAAAACATGCATTTCTCCTCCTTCCTCCTCTCCACCCCCAAAATTGTGAAATATGACAATGACATTATCATCTCATAGTTTAACTGTTCCTGCACAGCAGGGGAAGAGATGTGAGGAGGGAACAAAACCCTAAAGTCAACAGAGAAGTTTATATTTGTTTATCGAGATTTATGCAAAGATTTCTCAATTTCTCAGCCACAGAATAGTCTGGGGTGGGGCAGAGCCTGCTCCTACCCAGGATACAGCCCTGGGATCCCAAATGCTTTCTGACACTGGGTTTGTCTGACATCCCGACATACGTATGCGCAGCTAATGTTAACGTGCAACGGTGACAGTGCTGATGCCGTCACCCAGCCCTGCTAAGCACTGTTCTGTACTAACAGTTCTCCAAACCAAAAGGTTTCATTGGCTTCGAGGTCTCTAGGCTACTTCACCATCTTCTTATTTTAAAAATAAATACCAACAGATGTGTTAAATTAACCTTTTGGTACCCAATTCTCTAGGCATGTCAGCACCAGAAACTGCAGGAGAGGTTTGTGAGAGTTTAGAGCTGGTTTTCCAGTGCCCAGATCCCCTGCTGGGCAGGATTTTTGAAACTAGTATGTGAGAGGATATTTTTTTTTAACTCTTTTGAAAAATCTGACTACTAATTGTGCTGCCTGAAGGGAGCTAAAGACTTTTCAGCCACCCTTTCTGCCTATTTTCCCCTCCCATCTGTAATGTAAAAGCAAGTGTTTCTCCTGCCACAGGTTTGGTTCCTCTCCTATGCAAGCACAGAGTCAGACTCATCTGTGTAAGTCCCTGAAAGGAGCTTTTGTGTCTCTTGATTACAGTAATTTCTGATATACCACCCTGGGAAACTGTTAATAAAAGGACAGCTTAAAAGCCCCGAAGCCCTATCAACTGTCCATTTAAAGGATGATTTGTAACCTGCTAATTAACCATTGTGCTCCAGTGGTCCTGGGCTGCTGGCTTGCAGCTCTAATGTATTAATGATCCTGAAACACTGCCAGAGCATGGAGTGGCTTAAGAAAACCTGTGCTAAACATTAGGCATTATCCCCGGCCCTGCTTGCAGGGAGAGACCTGATGCAGATTTAGGGGCAGCCAGGAAGAGGTGGGAAGGAAGGTCCCAAATGTGGCACTTCCAGGCCAGCAGCAGCACTGGAGTTGAAGTTGCATTGGCAGAGCGATGTGCTCAGGCTAATTCATCCTGGAAGGAGGCAGGATGATTTGGTCCCATGGACCCCTGTGCTAACAGAGGGTGAAAGAGTACACTGGGTAGAAAAAGCTAGGCTTCAAGATGGCAGGGTAATAAAAGTCACTGGGGCTGTTTCAGAAAAGAAAATAATGAGAACAGCTTTTTTTTCCTTGCATTTCCTCTTTGGCAGCTTCTGCCACAGCTGTGTGCTGCCAGCTGCAATGTGGGCTTGGACTGACAATGTGGTGCTAGCTAGAAGCACCAAGGGTAGCAAGAATGGGAGTCTTTTTTTTTTTTTTTCCTTTTATTGAATTTCATCATGAATAAAAATAGAAAAAAATGTGGGATAACGAGTATGCCCATCAAATGTTTTAATAGGATAAATTTGGCAAATGCAGAGAGGAGGAGGCAAATTTGACAGTGACCAGGCTACAGGATGGTATCGAAGGGGGAGGGACGGATGTGATCCTCTCTCCTAGGCACTACGGGCCTCTGTGGGAGGGAGGACACAAATAACCAGAATGAGCAGGGAACCAGCTGGGGCATGAGCAAAAACCCCAAAGGATGAACCATGCTGGGGTAATAAGGGAGGCTGAAAGCCAATCCTTGAATTAGGGGTCTCTGCTCAGGTTCTAAAACATAGCTGTTCAGATGACAACACCCATACTCCATCAGGCTCTTCTAGTAGCTGATCAGTTTGGGGATGAAAATGAAGTTTCTCTTTTGGATTAACAACTAATTAAAGGATAGGAAACAAAAAGTGTCAAGAAAATGCCAGTTTCCATGGTAGAAGATTAGCAGGGGTGTGCCACGGGAACATGCGAGGCTCAACATGCTCATAAATGGTCTGGAAAAGGAGCTGAATAGAGAGATGACAGTTTGCTGATGATACTAAATCATCCAGGGCAAAGAATGTAATTTGCCAGGAAAGAGCTGCAAAAGATCTCTTGTCATTGAATGCCTGCATCATAAAATTACAGATGAAATTCAATATCAATAATACAAAATAACTCACATGGAGAAAAATGCCCCTTCTTATGTATATACACACAGTAATGAAGCCTGAACTATGATTAACACTCAGGAATGAAATTTTGCTGTTATTGTGACTAGTTCTCTGAAAATGTTAGCTCAATTATTTAGAAAAAAAAAAAAAGCAAAGAAAATGCAAAGTTGTTAGGAGAATAGAGAACAAGCCAGAAACATTGTTAATGTCACAAGAGCCCACAGCTTGAATACCACGTACAGTTCTGGTCTTCTTGTATTAAAAGAATATAGTAAAAATAACAAAGGCACAAACGAGAGCAATAAGAGTGATCAAAAATATAGAACTACTTCCTCACCAGACACGTCTAAAGAGCATCAGTCTCTTATGCCTATAGGAGAGATGACTGCAGGGAGAGGTGAAACAGGTCGATAAAATCATTTGTGCTTTGGGAAAGCGAGCAGGGGATGATCTATGCGCTGCTTCCCGTGACGCAGAAATATCAAATGGAGTTATCAGGTAACAAGTTTGAAGAAAAAGAAGGGATGCATGTTTCAACACAGCACGTCACTTAGCATTGCAGCTCCTGGCTGGAGGTGTTGTGGGGGATGAAGTTTAGGTGGACTCAAAAAAAAAAAAAAATTAGAATTCAGTCAAGAAAAAGCCTGTCAAGGAGAAAGATGCTGTTCTTGGCAGAGGAGGCCCCTAACTTGGGGGCTGGTGTGTACGGGAGGGGAGGGGTGATGGCAGGCTTCCCTGGTCTCCTGCTCCTTCCCTGACGCTGTGCTGCTGGCTGCTGCTGTGAACACCAGGTGTTAGAGCAAAGACGGTTGCACCAACACCCCTGACAGTGCCCGGCCTGTGCTGGCAGGTCCCAGCTCTGCTGCTGTGCTGGAGGACTTTGGGCTGCAGAGCCCACTGGGTCAGGTCTCCCTGTTCACCTGCGGGTTCCCTGTTTACCAGTTTTCCTGAAGTGACGCAGAGCTGAGCCACTCAGCACTGCTCACATGCCTGTCGTCACCACAGCTCAAATGGCAGAGGCATGCCATATCCCTGTTTACGTGGGGAGGACTGAAGCCCAGGGCTGCCAGGATTTGTAGATGCTCAGATCCCACCAGTGCTGGTGGGATTTAGATTCTGTTTCCAAAATGTATTGCTGTATTTGACGTCCCTGTGACACACACTGAGTTCTGCAAGCTGAAATTATTTCATAGAGGTTTAATACACTTTGGTATTACTAACTCTGATCTGCTCTCTTCACTGCAGTCTTCCAGTACCTCTTGGAGAAACATATTGCTCTGAGGCAGAACACGTGAGACAGACGTGCCTGCTTTCAATTTTTCAAGCGCTATCACTATCAGAAAAAAGTCCTTGTTTAAAACACTAATCCTTAATGCAGCTTAGGAACAGCTGAAGTGACAGGGTGGGCCAGACCAAATCTCCCTTGACTCAACCAGCCCAAGCTGGCATGTGTGAGATGCCAACGTGACCTGTCACTTCGGGCCCCATCTGCTTCTGTCACTGATCCTGGGAAAAGGTTGACCAAGTGCGGATGAGGGAAAGTAGCTCGCAGAGGGGACTGTGAAATCCAACCATTTAACTCTCTTACAGCCACATCCTTTTGTCATGTAAGGTACCTGTGTGCTGAGAGCTCATTTTTGTCCTGGCTGTTATAGCTGTTGTCTGAGGTTACACAATTAAAATGGCAATATGAAGATACTTTCATTAACTAGGGACGGAACAGGGCCTGATCAATCTAGGGGAATCACCGGGAACAAGGAAATCTCCTGAGCTCAGCTGGACTCTGCAACATATCCAGCTGGTAACAGGTATTGGAAACTAGAGTTTCAAACAGTTTTATATCTTCTTCTAAATTATAAGAGGAATCCAAAGAACAACAACAAATACTCCCATGAAAGCCCATTTTAAAAGTATACTCATTAATAAGATCTTCTGGCCTCCATAGTTGCCAGCTGTGGGAGGTGTGCTCAGCGGCAAGCCCTGTGCTTGCTCCCTGCCTCCCATGCAGGCTGGCAGAGCCCGTGTTCCCTGGAAGCACTCTGCCTTCCTGGGAGCAGTCAGTTCCCACTCTGCTCCCTGTGAGCTTCCAACGGGCTGGGGAAGGTATACTTTGAAGCTCAGCAACAGAAAGCAGGGGACAATTTTTCAGTGCCAGCAAGAAGCATGATCCTATTGCTAAATGGGTCTCACCAGCAACATTAGTCCAAGACTGCTGTTGAGCCAGGCTATCTGGGCGAGAAGACCAGGTGATGAAGCAAAACTAATCTTTCTTTTCACTCTTGAGGGCATATACTGCTCCTCGGTAGTGTTATTCAATAGTTAGGGTTATATAAAGCCTCTGTGACTTTCCTGTGCTCCTGACAGAGAGTCTTCTCTTGTTCAGCCAAGGTGTGACGGCACTGAGCAGCTCTGCACAACCCTTCTCCCTGTGGAGGTCAGCACCAACAGGCTCTCACCCAGCACCCAGCAGGCTCCCTCGCAGCCCACTGTAGCTAGAAGAGTGCCCGAGCTTCGGTCCTACCCTCTGCTAACTGGGCGACTGGGTTTGGATTGAGGGAAGAAAAAGGGATGACTTTAAATGAACTTTAGTATCTGAGGAGGAGCAGCATAGAATTGTTTGCATTGCTGGGGATTATCAGGATTCCCTTTTAGCCCAAGCTGTGTGAAGGAGACCACTGTGGCTATATACCACCAAGGAAAGGAGGGTTCATAGTTATGTGAGCTCCTTGCTCTGCTATATGGAGGTAATTGTGCTCATTGGGAATTAAGTTAAATGAACGAGCTTAAATGAATGGTAGCACAGTGGGAGTTGAAAGTAGCAGGAGCGAGACCCAAGACACCAATCTCTGCTGAATCACCAAAACCAAATCTGCCAGGCATTAGGGACTTCACACCTTCTTTGCCAGCCTGAAATTCAAAGCATCAGATCTTCAGTGGTTCATGTAACAAGGTGTAGGCAGATATGGCTTTAAGCCAGCGCAGCTGTAGATCTGCTCTCATACGCACTCTGAATTGAACTGCTTTGGGGCCAGTGTGAGTGAGGCATTGCCAAAACCTCATAGGTGGATCCTCAGCCTCAAATTTCATGTTCCATCATGAATGCATATGAGAGATGACCTCTCCCTGGGCTGTCCATACACTTGAAAGAGTGCTCAGGTTCTGAAACCAAAATCTAGGCACTCCTCTTGCTGCTCTCTCCTAGCACATTCCTAGCCTTGATGACCTCAGAGACAAGTATTTAAACAAACCCAGCAAGAGCTGAAGCAGAGACACTTGCCTTGCACATCACAGAATGACATCTGAGAGCCTCAAGGACAGCTACAGCACAGGCATGGTCACATCTCTCTCATCATGTCTAGGTGTGTTTGTGATGCCTCGACTGAAACGGGCAACATCTGCCACGTGAACCTCTGGTGAATGGTTACTAGTGGCTCAGTCAGGCAGCCTATATGAGGTTTATGGCATTCAAAAAACTGTTTGGTAGCCATGAGAAAGGAGCACCTGGGCTTTCAGAACCTAGGTGAACTCTGGGGAGAAGGAGAAGCTGAAGATTAACGTGGGCAGTTAGGAGGTGGTTGGCTGCTGTCCTAGAGAGGGTGCTGTGTAGGTTTCTCAGCGTTCCTGGGTGTGTTTGGCAGCTACACTAAGTGTTGTTTTCCTTCATAGTCTTTGCTGACCCTGTTTGCTGCAGGCATTCTTACTTATCTGTGCAAACTCTGAAATAGGAAAATATCACATGCCTCCATGTGTGTAAAGAGGAAGGTATTTGCAAAGAAGTATTTGAAATATGTTTCAAAGATTAACAAAGTTCAGCCAGCTCACCCAGTAGGTTATGGCCAGGCACAGCAGGACCTGAGTTCTGAAGCAGATATTGCCCAGCTCCGTTAACTTTTAAGTTGTAAAGTGAATCAAGAGGACAGTGCTCCCGACTCAATCTGCTCTCTGGCCCCAAAAAGAAGTCAGCAAGAGGCAGGAGTTGAGATTCACGCCCCACATCTGGCAGTGCTTTCACTGATCCTCCCAGAACAGCATCTGAGATTTCTTATGGACCCAGTATGTTTAAGAGCCTGCTAGCTCTAGTGAGGATCACAGAGAAAGGAAAGGACTGTAGCCTTTCCTCTTTCACAGCGATGGAAGCCAGAGAGTTTTATGGTGATAAGCTCCACACTATTACCATTTAGTCTCCCCCGATGTCCTGGTGCTGGGCTAGCTCCTGGTCTGTCCCATGGCCTTTCCCATGCCAGCAGAACGAGTGGATGCCACCGATACGTTACAGTCCAGTCATTCACGATGCACTTACCTTTTCCTTGTTATCCATGGTGATGGCAATCTGCATTCTTCTCCCTCGGCGGAAAGCCACCAAATGGTCTGTCTCTTCTTCACTCAGGTCTGGCACTCTGCCTGGGCCAGGGAAGCACTCGGTGCGTTTCTCACTGACGATCCGCTTGCCCTGGCAAGGACAGGATGAGTTAATGATACCTGCATCAGCCCTGGGCAACACCCTTCCTCGGAGAGAGGTCATCCCCAGGCTGCAAAGGATTTTGGTCTGGCAGAACAGAAACATGAGCTAGATAGTCAGTTGTCTTGATTTATAAAGCTGGCACCCTACTTTAAGGGATATTTAATATTACATAGACATGTTTAACTGAGCACAACTTAGGTAGGGTGGGTTTTACCCTGTTCAGATGCTTTGCAGATGAATACTGAGTGACATTTTTACTTTAGACAGGCAAGCCATCTTGAATTTGTCTTTGAAAGAAATGTGAAGTTGTACTCTCGCCAAACAACATGCCCCAATAAAACGTGAGGCTATGTTGGAGCAGAATCCTAGAGGGTGAAAGAGAAGGGAAACAGTGGTGTTCTCTCCAACCTTGCCCACAAAGGAGCTACTACCCTGAAGTGTATTAACACTTGATCATTTATCATCTTCATAATCATTGTGCATTCATATTTCTGGAATGATTTATTCAGCAGTGAAATAGTTTAGAAAACCGATATATACTCCTTGAACAAGGGCAGTTTACTCCTTTCAGATATTATTGCCAGCTGTCTATATCAGTTCATGACTTCACTGCATGGATTTACATCTGGTTCTTATTTTGTTAATTATCTTTGTTGCTGCCTGAGCTCCTGCCAGTGCCCTCAGCCATCACTTCCACAGAATGAGCACATCTTTTGTACAAAAATACGTACTTTTTCTCATTTAAAAGTATCATCTTTCAGTTCCATCATGTGCCTTTTTATTTTTGCCTTACAAGGAAATGAGAGACTTAATAAGTCATCTCCATCTTTATCTCTGATCTTTTTCTTTTCTCTTCATCTGTCTGATTCCTCTGCTTGAATTTATCAGGGATGAACAAGCTTCAGAAACTTCCCTCTCTAAAGCAGGGTATATTTTACTCTGTTTTTCTCCTTGGACTTCCACACATACTGGAGTCTTGATTTCAAAGGAGCTCAAAATCTCCAAGTAAATTTCAGTGAAACTTGGGAATCTCTGTTGCTATGATCTTGGTTTCAAAACAAACAGCACACACTGACCTCTGATTTGTGTGGAAGTCTTGCAAGCCTCAGTGAATTTGCCATGACATATGCTATCAAGATGTCCTGCATTAGCCTCATCCTCACTTGGCTCTGCCAGAAGCACAGATGTTAGTGTGGAGGGAGCCTTGCTGTAGACAGCCTCCGTCAGCAAGACCTTTTATATCGCTTGTCCAGTCATCGAGCTTCCTAACACATGATAAATGTTTTAGGAGGTACTGGAGTATTTCCAGCATCAGACCTTCAGTCTCTTGTTTATTCATCTTTCACATCTGTGTAATTTTGCTGTTTCAGCAGAGGCAGTTCTTGCATTAGTCTCATGCACATGAGAGCAAGACTGGGCCCCTGCACTGCTGTTGGTTCTGACTGGCAGAGCTGTGTGGACATGGTGGGAAGTTTTTTATACATTCCCTTGAGTATGTACAGCTCTGGGTTTAGGTTTCAGCTGTAGCTCTTGACAAGTTTTTCTGCCCTTAGTAGGACCCTTGCCATTTCTGCTTTTCTTTAAATAAGTGAAGCCACATGTTGCGTTCAAAGCAAGGATCTGCTGCCAATCTGTTCAATGCCATTCTAGTACTTTCCATGTTGTTCTTTATGTTTGTGTCAATGCAGCCTCCTACTTTGACTGCTGCCGAAGACCAACATCTGTGAGCTATCCCTAGAGATGTCAAGATCTTTTTCCTGAGAGAGTAAAGTCTGATAGTAAAGGGAATAGGCAATCATTTAAATATGGATTACAACTGTCTTGGCATCTACAGTAGCCAGACATTTAGGTGTACTTTTACCTGCAGCCAGGATATATGTCCTGGAAAAGTCCCCATACCTATATGCTCTGTGAGTTGTTTCAAATGTTTTAGTTCATGTATCTGTCTCAAGAAGGATATGATTTTATCAGAGACCAGGCAGAGCCAGAAAGTTCAACCCAGAATCTAAACTGCTCTGAAATCCTAGCTGTATGCCCCCTCCATGAATAGAGCATGCTATACTGCCCTTAATGACATGTCCCATTGCAGCCACAACAGTACAAGTGTTTGCGTTACGGCAGCTTAGTGAGAGACTGCCTGATTACTAAAGTCAGAGCTGGTTGAAAATGTGAAGGTCAATGGCAGCTTTGGCAGCAGTGACCAGAAGACAGTGGATATGAGGAGCCTGAGAGCAGTAAGGAAGGCAAGCAGCAGACTAGGGACCATGGGCTTCAGGAGAGCAAATGTTGACTTCAGGGAACTGGCAGGCAGGATCCTGCAGGAAGCTGTCTGGAAGGGGAAAGGAGCCCAGGAGACCTGACCTATTTTCAGGGACAAGGCACAAGAGCATAGGTAAGTACTTCCTGCTGTACAAGAAAATGAGCAGGTGTGAAAGAGGCCAGCTTGGCTGAGCAGGTTGCTCCTAGTTAAACTTAAACGCAAAAAGGGAGTATGTGGAAGGTGGAAAGGGACAAGCTCTCAAGAAAGGTTATGGGAGCAGGACCTTGGCATGCAGGAAAGCCAAAGCTCACCTGGAGTTGAAACAAGTGAGAGATGCCAAGGTCAGCAAGAAGGACTTTTGTAAACACATTAACAGCAAAGAAAGTTGAAGAAAGCTGCTGGCCTGCTGCTGAATGGGGTGGGCAACTTAGTGACACAGGGCATGGAAAAGACTGGTTACTCTCTGCCTTCTTTGCCTTGGTCTTTTACTGGCAAGGTCTGCTCTCCACCTCCCAAGTCCCTAACAGTAACAGAGCCAGAGAAATGCTTCACTCCCTCAGCACCCTGGAAGATTCAGTTATGGACCGTTTAAATAAAGTAAGAAAGTGGGACTAGGTGGACTGCATCCAAGGGTGCTGAAGGTGTAGCCTGACGTAACTGTGAGGCTGCTTTCTACTGCTTAGCATCTTCCTCAGTGATCTGGATAACAGGACAGACTACACCTTCAAGTTCATGGGTGATGCCAAGTTGATATGCTGGAGGGTGGTACTGTCATTCAGAGGGATCTTGACAAGGTGGAGGAAGGTGAACAAAACCAAATGACAAGTCCTGCACCTGGGACAGAAGAACCCCAAAGAATTCCTGGCATCAGTATGGCTGGGGGCAGCTCTGCAGAAGTACTTCGGGAGCCTGGTGGGCAACAACCTGACCGTAAGTGAACAGTGAGGAAAACTAGTTGCTCACTTGGTTCCACTGGCATGAGGATAGCCACCAGGTTGGGGGAAGTGATTATTTCCCTCGTTTGGGGCATATTTGAAGTACTGTGTCCAGTTTCCCTTTAGCACAAGATGAGAGAGGTATAGACAAGTTGGAGAGTCTTCTGGAGGGGTCACCAAGATGGTCACAGGGCTGGAGGGAGGATGCACATGGTGAGGCTGCATTTGTTTAGTCTGGAGAGAGAAGAGAAGGCAAAGAGGGGACCTAATTGCAGTATTCCTCCATCTGAAAAGGTGTTATGAAGAGAACAGAGCCTAGTCTCTTGGAGGTACACAACAGAAGGGTGAGAGGCAATGGACACAACCTGCCACAAGGCGAAGTACAACTGGAATCAAGGGAAAAAAAGTCACAATGGTGGTAGTCAAACACTTGAAAACAGGTGCCCAAAGAGGCTGTGAAAGCTCCATCACTGGAGATTTTCAGAACTTGACTGGATTCAGCCCTGAGGAACCTGAGATAACTTTGAAGATAACTCTAGCGGGGGATCAGACTAGATGACCTTCAGAGGTCCCATCCCACCTCAGATATTCTGTGATTCTACTATTGCGCCCAAGCCTGTAGCCTGCTTCAACTGTGAAGTAAAACTTATTTAGGTTTTACACCTGTATATGTGTGTATATATGTAGATGTATGCAAGTAGTGAATTTAATACACAAGTATGAATTTAGTAATTTTGCCTGTTTTCTGCAGGTCTGGCTTTTCTACAACTAGAACTAGGTAGTACAGACCAGAATTCATGATCAGGGAGCCATGAAGTTCACAAGCACTTAGGTGTTGGCTTTTAAGTGGCACCTGCTTCTGAATGACTGAATCACATCATGTCCAAAGGTAACATATTTCCACTGCCAGAACCATTAGCTAATAGAAACACATGATGTTTTAAAACACAAAGAATATTTCAAATCCTGTTTATGTCCTATGATTCATATATTTTATTCCTAAATCTCACTGAAACTGGAGACTGGAATTTGAATGGACAGCATAGGATTTGTGCTTGCAGTCGAAGAAAACAATATGGTTTTTGTTTATATCAGTGCAAATCAGTATTAATGGCTGTGGATGGAAGAAAAATTAACCTTTTGAAAAGACTATCTTGGTCTTGTATTTCAGACCACAGAGCTGGGCTGGATAATTTGAAGCTGCAAATCTCTCCTGACATCCCCTCTGGGTTCAAGGGGCAATGTCTGTGGCCACAAGAGTATCCTCTGGTCTCATTCATATTGGCAGTATCTAGTAGCTCAGAAATACAGTATTAGCATGGTCATTTTAGGAAGTTACTGTCTATCAGCACTAACGGGCCATGCCAGTGCTCTTACCTTGTGATAAACACGGGAAAATGCAGTTTTATTTAACTCTTCCATTAAAGACATTAAATGGACATCTTTTATACAGTATCTTGCAAAGTTGTGCTAACCGAATCATGTGTCTTCCATATATATGAACAAACACTTCACATTGTGATGAAAAGGCAGTGAAAACTGCAATCAGTCAGCTGCTCTGAAAACCTGAGCCTTCCTATTTAAACTTTCTCCACAGCTAGCAAGGACGAAGTGATAAGCATCACTGTATGTGCTTCACAGCTCCCCTTTATCAGGAAAACTGAATTCTTTCTTAAGACACAGAAGAAGTATGCTTAGCAGTTTTCTGAGGCCCCCTACACATTATGGGTCTGTGACTTAAGCCCAGAAATATCAGTGGAGTCAAAACAGAGACAAATACAGCCTCCCTGTTTTGGAATTGGTGTATACAAGACTGTACCTCTCTTCATTCTCTCCCCACACCAGCCTCTCCTCTTCTAAAAACTTATTCCTCGCTCACGTCTTTTGGGGAGGAGGGCTCTGTAACGCAATCTGGGCAATTGCCCAAAGCAATATGTAAAGCAATTTTCTATGAAAGAATCTCCTTCTTTTCCCCACCATCTGCCTCCCTGGTAGCAACCCTCCATCGGAGGAGGCTGCCTGCTGCCACTGAGGAACTCTGCAGCCCAAGCCAGGCACTGCTGTTTCCTCAACAGGTAAACAGTCCCCACAGCGGACGGTGCTCTCCCACGGTAAGAGCAAAGATCTTGGGAATCATGGGAATGACTCAAGTTAGACCCTCCTGCACAGGGCCCCGTCCTGCATGACTGCAATGTAACTGGGGAAGAGCTGCGATCTGAAGGCAGCCGGACATATTACACCTTGCAGAACAGGCTCGTAACTGTTCACTGTCCTGTCTCCCTGCAGAGGCTGAAAATACAGTGTGGCTTTGCTTTGGGACCACTGAATTGCTCAAGCCTGGTAGATACTTTGGTGCTGAAGCTGTACATTGTTTTGTTCTTCAGTGGTTATTATTCCCAGGAAATATCTTTGCTCCAGAAATAATCCTGAGTTTCTTGGGACATTCAAGACAATACATCTTCCCTCCTTTAAGCCCTGAGCAGGCATGTACAGTAATCTCAGGTTTAACTGCTGAGGTTAATGAATGAATTGGAGAACAAGGCTTGCTCTGCCCTAGATAGAGCACCGATATGAGGTGTTCAGCATTCTAGTTAGTATTTTTTTTTATTAAGAAAGTAAGCCCAGTGATGGCTTAGCAAGGTAATAGCAAGCTATTAATCTATAACTTGTAGATCAAACATTAATTTTAGCTTAAGTCAACAGCTGTTCCCTAGAGCTCTTCAGTGTTTAGATGGTGACGGCCCATCCTTTAGACAAATAACGTGGTCACAAATAACTCTTGCCAGGGAGGCCCAGCACTGGCTGGGTATTTTTGAAGATGGCTTCATCACTTACTATCTGAGAGAGTCCTTCCTGAGGAGGGACATGGGCCCTGACTGCAAACAACAGCAAAGCCACTACCTGAAAACTTGAAAATCAGTGCAGAGGTCCTTGTACCCAAATACTGTGAACAGGATGGAAGCCTCAAAGTGCAGTACTGGATTTACAGGGAGGCACCTTCCCTGGGCCGTTAGATGATAAAAGTCACAGTGGGAAGGCTGGCACGTTGGCAAAGCCATTAAACACTGCAGTTTATTGAGCAGATGGCAAGGAAGACTCAGGGGCTGGTACAGGAGATAGATATAGATATTTAACAGAGCTGTGACAGTCAGACATATATAGACTAGAAGACCACCATCTTTTCTGTGTAATACCTTGTCTCCCTCCCTCCCTTGCTCCCCTTTTTGCTTTTGGCTAAGACGCATCATCTGAAGGCACATTCTGCTTAATGTCCCATCAGTGTCTTCTTTTCTTTCACTTGTCTATTATCTTAACAATATCAGTGATTTCCTAGATTGCTTGTCCCACATTGGGAAATCCTGGTCCTCAGTGGACTAGCTCCCAAAGTGAGGGATGTCAGATGAGGAAAGCACCCATGCAGAGACAAGGGGAACAGAGTGGGGCCCGACCAGCCGGCAGTGCCTGGCAGAGCCACCCCTTCCCCTCCACAGGGCCTGTTCCCACTCACTCACTGCATGCAGGAGATTTGGGACTCTGGCACTACCTATTTAGCTGCAGTCAGACAAAACTGCATGGCTTCCCTTGTAGCAATTCACTGAGAAACCGTAAATCAAGAAGTGCCCATCTTATGTCTGATGCATGCCCTGGATTGCAAAGGTAGTGTTAAAAACACATATCTGAGGAGTGTCAGGAAAAAGAATGTGGGGAACAAAGGAAAAGCCTGGACTTCTGCCCAGTTTATGCAACTTTCCAGCTGCCTTTCCTTTGTGGCTTCTCATTTTACAATGATTTGTGATATTTAGGATTGGATGTAAATGCTTTTCTGCACAGTCCAGCTACTCTGTTGCTTGACCCTTGCAATGGTCATAGGAAGGATGGTGATGGCTCATTTAGTCATCCCAGTATCACCAAGCAAGTCTCTTCAGAGACACCTGGGAAGCCTTGCTCCCTGAGAAGCTGAAGTAAATTATCTACTCTCTTTTAATCTTCAGCAGCCCAGAGGATGCCTTAACAGGGCAGCAGCAACAAATAAGCTTGTACTTCACATGATATCAAACACGATTTTGTCCAAAATCCTAATAATTTTTCCCTTCCACCCATTACAGTCTCATGCCCATCCTACTCATCCATTTTGAGAACTCTGTTATAAAGTGACTAAAGGAAGGTTCTGGACTGATGCCACTGGAGCATTCACCAATAAATCAGTTTTCCTCTGTCATCAAGTCAGGCTTCTGGGTTGTGCTTTACACTAACACTCAGGAGACCCTGGGGGGCTTCTACAGCCTGTGAAAGGTGCTTAATGCAAGCAAATTCACATATACCATACAACAGGGACCTTATGGGGAGTTTCCACAGAGGTCTGCATTTCCAGCAGAAAAATCTCAGATGTCTATTAATTGGTCATGCTGAAAAACACTGGCACAGAGCTTAAGGCAGCAGTGATTTAGCTGCCAGTGCTTTGCGCTAATACAAATCCCCATCTTGGACTTGAATTCTCAGCTATAGGTTATGGAAACGGCTCCAGGGGATGCAGCCTGTCTGCGAGAGCCACTCACTCTGCAAATGTAATTGCTTCAAATATAAACCCCCCCCAATGCAGAGCCACACAACCATAAGAAACCTCGGAGGAGGCTTTCAAGTATTTCACTGGTAAAGTTCAATCAGTAATGAGGATGGTGAGATTTCTAGGTACTCTCTCTTCTAAGAAAAACTGGAATTTTTCCCCTTACATCAGGAGGTGGTTTGGTTGTGCTGGAATGAGATTTCATTTGAAGATGTCCATGCTACTGGTAATCTATCTGGAATAAAGGAAATGAGAGGCCTCAGTCCCTTTCTCCTGAAAAATCATTCTGAAAGGCGCATTATTTCCTAAATGATTCAATTCCTTCAAGGTAACATATAATGACTTTATAATGGCACAGTGATTGCGGCCTATTTCTTCATGGAAAGAAAGGGTAACTAGGTCATGGAGAAACAGAAATGAAAAGGTATTCAAGGCACAAAATCAGAAAAATATTTCCAAGCTGCCTCAGAGGGAGAAATGGCTCTCTGCCTCTTGTTTACAGCCAAGGTTTTCAGCACTCCTACCCCAATGTACCAGGGTAGCAGGAAGGGTGGGGTTTTGCTTCATTACCTCGGGGAATGCCCTTGGCTTGGACTCCAGTTCAAAAAGTCCCACTCTCATTTTGTGGGCCACGCACGTTGCTGTGCCTAAAAGTGGACCCAGGGGAGCACCATTTGCTGCCACCGTTTTCTCTTCCCAGCACTGCTGTGACAGAGCCGGGGGCTGCCCTCGCCCGGCCCAGTGCCTCAGCACGGTGCGGCGCCAGCTGAGGCTTTCTGCCTCCTTCCCATCGGCGTGGTCAGCACAAAGGGGCTGTGCTCACCTGGGTGATGTGTCTCCCCTTGTCTTACTGGTGTCTTCTTAGTCTTAATCAATAGATAAGATTGCCTCTTGTATTCTTTCAGAACATATTCAACAGCAAGAAATATCACCTGCAGCAACAGTCTGCCTCCACTCACTCACTAACCAAAGAGCTTCCCTCAGTTCCCATACAGGTGCACCTGTGCATGCAGAAACCATGTTTTTCCAAAGAAGGTGGCACTTCTGATCCTTGTTCTATTTATCTCAGTGGTCAAACTCACTAACTCCAGTGAGAACAAGATCAGTTCCCTGAGATATACTCCAAGTGAAGAAAATAAGAGCGTGAAGCTCATATAGGCACGTACTTCCTCAGACATGCTGCCAATACTCACTGCCAAAGTTTTATCAAACCCTTCTTGGCAGTAAGTCCCAACGTGCTGAAGCTGCCATTAGGATCGTTATATCTGGATGCACAGACTCCATGAGGGATGGGGTAGTGCCCAGGAGGGGATGCATTGGGATTAAAAAAATTAAGTAGCATTTTTAATTACTTATGCCTTTTTGCACAATTTTTAATTAAGTCTGCAAATACTAGGTCACATTTTCTGCCCATCACATTGGCAGCTGCAACAGATACTCATGTCACTGTTTTTTCTTCTGCATTTAGGAATTTCTGGAATACAGTAGCAGGAAGAAATTATGGGGGTTTTACCACCAAACATCACTGCCTCCCTGGGAGTAGCTGGACAATAATACAGCTAAATCTGTCCAAGCTCCCACTTATTTCCATCCCCTTTTTAGGCACAGGATTTAACAAACGTGCCAGTGGCCTGGGAGGGCAGTGAGATGACTGATCTCAGAAAGGGAACTGGCTGTGCGTGGCTGGCTGGAGCAGCTGGGAGGTTTAGCAAGGCCTGGGGGCTGATTCCTGTGAATCAGAAATGAGGAGGAAAGTGCGTGGCAACTCAAGATGAAGACAGAGGCTGTGCTGAAGGACTGAGAAATGAGAGAAAAGGAGCGGGAAGGGAACGATTCCCTTCGGAGATGAGACACTGGGGGACATGCTGAGCAGAAAGATCAAGTGAGAGGCTGAACAGAAGCCCCTTTGTAAGTCAAGAGGTTGCGGTGTAAGAGGAATCCTCTTCCCTGCTCACCTTGGCTTTGTTGTCCATGGTAACAGCCAACTGCATCCTCTTCCCCATCCTGAATGTGAACATATGATCCGCTTCCTCCTCCTCCTCCTCTTCCTCGCTGCCAATGCCAAACCCTGGGCTTGTAGGACAGGGGCTCCCCCATTTCTCGCTCACCACCCTTTTGTCCTGGAAAATGAATCACTTCCGTTAGCAAATCCAGGCCCCTCAGTTCACCAGTGCGATTCCCTTCCCCAAACACACCTGCACGCGAGCAGGGGGGCAGCTACAGAAAAGGCAGGCCTTGCCCTGAGGAAGCTTTCTGTGCCCGGCGTGGTGCCGTGACATTCCTAGGGAACAAGGGACTCGTTGTCTGCTCAGCAGCAAAACCCACAATTACAGCGGGTCTGGAAAATCCTTTGCACTTACAAATCTGACATTTCAGACTAAAATGTCAGAGTTATGGGAAACAAATGTCATCCTCATCTCTTTCTGCAGCACTCTGAGTTAGATCGGGAAAGCCTAAGTCCTGATGGAGATGGCCTTGGAAGCCAAGTGGATGGCTCCTGAGGGTGGTGCTCACCATCGAGAGGGCTGGGCTATCTTGTCCATAGTGTTCAGTCTGGGTAATTGCATCTTTCAGGTCCTGTATGAGAGAAAAATGTGTGCAACAGTGCACCTCCGGAGAAGAGCAAGGGCCGGGGCATGGTTGAGAAATGAGTGATGCACTGGCCTGGATCTAACACCCCAGGAGTGCCGACTGCACAAACAGAGGGTGGGCTGGCTCAGCGAGCGCTGGGCGAGCTCTGTCAGAGGACTTTGCCCAGGGGTTAAAGCAGGACTGGCCGGGTGGTTTTACCAAGCCCCACACTGCCAGCAGGGGTGGACAGGGCTTGTCAGACACAGATTTGGTCCAGTTAGTTGCAGTCTTTGCCCCAGGGGAAGCCCCAGAACAAAGGGCTACTTGCTTTGCTCACTCACAAAGCCTAAGGAGCCCATGACTGTGCCCAGCCTACAGGCATTCTCAGAAGCATTTCAGATGTCTCCAATGTCACACATACACCTGCCTATGTATCTGCAGCAACGCTGACACCTGGGACCCATCCAGGACCAAGTGTGCCTGTTCACATTCAGTCATTTGCCTGTAATTCTGCCTGCTTGCGTACAGGTGCATCAGCTAAAATCGCTCTGAGCACACATCTCTGCAGAGTTTTCACATCCTTTTACAAGGGCTTAGGAGCTATGTCCTGTGCCTGAAAGAGCTTTGCTGTGGAGGCTGCCTCTTTCAGAAATGTCACTTTGCTGAGGTAGGACTGGAGTGAGAGCTGGCCTGTGGTGAAGTAGAGGCAGCACTTACATTGTGAGCTTTGGTGATGGTAATAGTGAGTCCATCCTGCTTGGGTCTCCTGGAGGTAACAGCCATTCCCTCCTGCTCAGCTCGCTTTTTGTCCTCTTCTATTTCCTGAAAAAAATATATATCCTTATTATCAGCCGGTACCTGGATGTCTACAGACATTGTCCATTTTCCTCCTCAGGGTTCCTCCTAAATGGGCCCACCTTCACCTCTAAGAGGGAGTGGACCAACTTGTGTCCCATCTGTGTGCCCTTGGGAGGGGTCACAGGCAGCTGTGACCTGCATTACCTCTCCCTGTGCCACAGGCATCTTAGTAAATCTCTTGTTGATTCAAGAGTGTCTGTTGCACTCTCAGCACATGCAGTGGGAAGCAAGCACAGAGTACAGGGGTCCCTTCCTGCCAGGCAGGGAAGATGATCAGGGTAGGATTGGGTATAGGACCTGTGGAGAGTCTGGAAGACACACCAGGCCTGCAGAAAGGAGCCGTGGTCCCTGTGCCGGTCTGGAGCCAGGGCACCGTCTGTGGCCAATGGAAGATGGCTGAGATCTGGCTGTCTACTAGGCAGCTTCTTCCAGAAGTCAAATGGTGCTGGCAGGGGGGCAGCATTTCATATGGGGTAAGAGTTCCTCTCCCCCAGCTGCCTGTGGCACTCAACTTCTCCCACAGCTTTCCACTATGTACCGCTTTTTGCTGCCACTAGAAAAGGGCCAAAACGGCTCCTGTGGTATCAAAGGAAATGTCTTCTAAGCAAGACCCAAAGCACCACTCAGTCTCTCAGCTCTGGATCCAAGACACAAAGTGTGCTCTGGGTTTCTGGGTTTTCAGCATGGCTCTGTCAAACTCAAGACTGCCCACCCAGCTGCCCCTAAAGCCAAGTGGCCTTGGGCACAGGCAGGAGAATGTTCCAGACAAGCCAAGGGGGACCCTTCTGCCAGGAGTACCCTCAGGCTGTCCTACTCTGTCCTGCCGTATGCAGACACTCATGGAGAAGGGTAAACAAATCCAGAGAAAGAGCTCCAGGTCACCACAATGTCACCCAAACCAGCTCACAGAAGCCAGGCTGGATATTTCCTGCAGGCCACTGGGTAGACTCTCTTGGCCAAGGCAGGACCAAAAAAACAGCTGGAGTACTTCCCCCTAATTCAGAGGGAAGAGCTTCAACCCATACCACTGCCCTGGTAGGGAAGATAAACCAATCAGATGTCTTAAGGCTGCAACCCTCTATGCATCCAAGAGGATAAGCATGAGGCACTGGGAAGCACAGATGGGGAATAAGTCAGGGGAATATGAGGTGAAGGGGTGGGAAAGGTGTGATGCAGGCATAGGAAGATGGTAGAGCGAGAGGAGATGCTGCAGCAGCAAGACAAGCGTCAGTGAGCCTGCTTTCCAGTGCAATTCAGGAGCTGTGGCTAAAGGCAGAGCTTTGCCCACCTGCTCCAAATCTTTTCCGATGTAAAAATTATATCTATATAACAAAGTCACTCTGACACTGCTGACCATTTTCTTTACACTGCAGGTTGAGGACTCCAAAATGGATCTGAAGAAGGTAAGAACCTGCCGACTTACCTGGTATCTTCGTATGAGAGCTTCGTTCTTTTTCCGCAAAGCCAAGATTTTCTTATCGAGTTCAACATCTTTCTGCTCTTTCTTCCTTAACACTGCATCATCCACAGCATCCTGAAAACAGAAGGAGCAAAGCTCTTCTCAGTCATCACACCAATGGGACAAAACCCGCTCCTGCTGTTTGGGCAGGGTGGGAAGTGGAAGAGTCTTTCCCCACCATTCTTCCCCTTGGTCCTCCATTAAAAAGAATACTGTATCTTGTAAAATGACTTTCCTGACAGAGTTGACCTTTTATTTTCTTACAATTTTTGTTCAGCAGTGAGGAAGTTAGAACAAAAAGCTGATGTCCCTCTTTGATGGCTGTCAGTAGTCTCCAGAGCAAATGACACCTCTCCGTGCCGTTGGTTCAGGTGTTTGCAGGCACATCAGTTCCCCTCCATTTACATTCAGAGAGCACCTTGGTTACCACAGGGGATAACAAATCAGATTTTTTAAATTCTAGTGACAGCGGTGTCTAGCGAAAATTAATGCTGATGAGTATCACCTCACTGCAGCAAGCTGATCTATATCGTCTCGGCTCTGCCTGGTGCTTGCATGAAGAGCAAGGTGGCAAGGCTGAGATCTCCAAGGCACTACGGCTTTATTTATAAGCAGTGTTTTTGTGCTCTCCTTATAAGCATGACATCTGTATGCTGCAGAGATCTCATGTTCCCTCTCCTTCACTCACACAGAAAGCTGGGTAAGATGAAGTGAGACTGAGGAGGGGAGGCAAGGAACCCCAAATCTCTGAGCACGCATCACACGTCTGGATACCTATTTTGCTGACATCACAACTCTAACCCCCAACAGGCTCCCTCCAGCCCCCTGCCTTTGCCATTTGTCCCCGTGCAGCAAATCTGCCGCAGGAGCACTGCAGCAAATCCAGCTGCTGTGCATGATGCATATTGCCCGCAGCACTGGGAAAGTTTGGAGGCATCGAGAAGCAAATGGAACAAAAATGTTGCCCATCTCGCTACAACTGGATGTTGCTCCTGAGGGTGATTCTCAGGGTTGTGTCCCTGTGAAGTGGAAACAGCCATGGTGGAAAGGTTTATCGTTGGTACCCAAGGGCTGGCGAAGAGGTTCATATCTGTCAATGCCCCAGCACTGCTTCCCTGTGGCTCTGGCGCTGCACGCAACCATCCTGGCCCCATCCTTGCCCTGGACCTGTCGAGGTCTCTGGGGCCAGTATCAGGCCCTGCTCCAGGGCACCTCAGCCCCCAGCCATACCCTGGGGGCAGGCAGAGGGACCTGTCCAGGGGAAAACTGCACCCCACCTTCAACCCCAGCCTCGCAAACTCTCCAGCCCCAGCCCGGTGCTAACCTGATGGCTGTTATAAGCCCGCTCCTAAAGCCACCCCAGTTGCGTGGGTGTACTGGGCGTAACTGGTGCAGTTCTGGTAGCAGGGAGGTTGGCTGCAAAGTGCTCTGTGAAGGAGGAGGCCATGGACTGCCCACAGCCAGTTCCAGCCAGCTCCCTCAGGGGCTTCCCGCCAAAACTCAGCCAATCAGGGGGGCCCGCGGTGCCTTTGAGCCAATCAGGGGGGTCCGCAGCGGCCCTGAGCCGTCAGAGGAGCACAGTGCCCTGCACCCCTTGAGGAGGCCATGGTGCCCCTGCCAAAGCGCCTCTAAGGGAGGAGGGGGCAGGAGGGCAGAGCAGGGGGAGGTGAAGAAGAAAAAGGCCATGCTGGGAGGAGGAGGAGAGAGGCCCTGCCGAGTGGGGACACTGGAGGGGCTGCTGCCGGCAGGGGAGCCACCAGGCACAGAGCCCACCACCGCAGCTGCCCTCGCCCTGCCGAAGGGACAGGGTGCCCCATGCTGAGGGGGACAGAGAGCAAAAACACGGGGGTGAGTGGTGTCGGGAGGGAAGCAGGGGTGTTTTTCCTAAGGGGGTGTTTGGTTTTATTCTTCTTTAAAACCAGTATCAGTTGTGAATAGATGGCAAATGAAACTCCGTGAAACAATAAAGAGGTTTTACTTGCGACGCATGGGCAAGGCATGTTTTTTGCCCACCTTCTGTTGGCTTCCTATCAAATTCCTCATAAAAACACCAAGACCCTCAAGAAAACTGTCGGTTTCCCCATTTTCATGGGAGCGAATCCCCACTGTATCCCTGTGAGTGAGTATTTTTGCTGCTCTCACTGCTCCCAGCTCCCAGCAGTGTGCATGTCAAGGGCAAAACCCGCAGAAGCATCCTCCACTGCGGGCTCTGTAGCTTTCAAGGCTGGGAAGAGCTCCTGCACAGGCAGGAGGGGTTTTTCCTTCATTAATCATGACATAGCAGGTGTGACCTCCTTCAGGGAAGGATACGTCAGGGGCCAGCCATGGCAGCTGGGGACACGAGATCTGAGTCTGACACCCGCCATGCCCTGGGTGCCTTCGTGCCGGCGGTGAGTCAGGCAGCCTGGATCCCCAGGGTCCAGCCTCGAGCGGGAGCTCACAGGCTTGCAAAGCCCTTCTCCTGGGAAGGGAGGGTTTCTCCTGGAGACCCCAGTTGCCTTTTGCCTGGTCCTAATTAGCTCACCAGAGGAAAAACTGGAGCAGTGAAGGTTGGGAGGAGGGGATGGAGGGGTGCTGTCTGACACAGCCCTTCTTAAACTGAGCGAACATGCAGCGAGAAGCCCAAGGCTTGAAGGCAAAGAGTAAAACCACAGCTGCTGTAGCCCAGGGGAGGGAAAGTCTTCATCTTCCCAGATACGTTTGTAAACTCTACCCACAGACGTATAGGGACTCCAGCCTCCTGAAGATGTGTTTATAGCGTGCCAATGCATCAAACAAGGCAGAATTAAAGCGCAAGGAACCTGACCCTTGATTTTTGTGTGTCATGTAGCATTTCACCAGGATGGGAATATCCTGCCTGTTTGAAAGCACAGGATTTTTAGATGAGCTGCAGGAATTATCTCCTTATCACAGGAAGGTTCTCAGCTACCTGGAAGGTAGGCGCCAAGTAAAAATGTAGGCGCGTTTGATCAGCTGGCCCTTCAGAAAATAATTCTAGGTAACATGTGGGAATTCAGCCAGGGGTTAGCATCACTACGCTTCCAAAAGTGTCCCAGGCCTCCTGGGACCAGGGCTGCAAATCACCCCCTGTGTGCATGTTCAAAGGAAGGGATCCAGCTGCTGAATCACTGCACATCCCTGCAACGCCAGGTCTTCCTTTCCAGGGCTTTACATGAAAAAAAACCCCAAAGCTAACTACATTTCAGCTCTCATCAAGCAGATCTGTGCTTGATCTGCAAAGAATAGGGCCACAGATGGGGGGAGAAGTCTGCGTCCGTAATGGTCTTTGGAGGAAAGGGACTAAAGGTCGAAAATGTGATACCATGACAGAGGAGGTGGGCTGGATGTCAGAAACCAGAGAGGGGAAAGGCAGGAGAACCAGTTTGCTAAAGAAGACCTCAGGTCCTGCACAAGTGCATCTTCACTTGTACCCCCAGTAAGGGGTATTTTATCAGTGCTGATTGAACAGCCCTTGCCGAGGGCTGCCCTGCCAGGACACAGGCATGCATATGTGTGCAGGTGGAACAACAGGGACATTTGAACCGCCTCCTCACATTCTCCTACTGGACAATGGGATTTTGTCAAGGTCTGCAGGAGAACGAAACATGCTTTTGCATTGCCATCAATCAACCGGGTACGCGACAGGTAAGTAGATTGTATATGTGGGTGGATACACTTTCATGGCCATTTTGCAAGGCTGATTAAAGCTGAATTCAGTGTTTACCTGAACAGAAGCTATTCTGTGAGCACTAAATTGGCAGGTTCGCTGTTTGCTGAGTGCTGGGGTGTTGGCTGCTTGAGGGTGGGATCAAAGTGGTGTATGCCCTCAAACACACCCCTTTCATCTTCAAATTCCTTTGAAGGGGGACCGACAGAGCTGCCGGCTCAGGAAGAATTTTAAAATTCCTGCAGAGATTGTATTTGTGCTCTTCTCTTTTCAAAGGCAAAAGATGGAAAAGACCTGTCAGGCCATTCCCCTCTCCGTGCGAGACTGCACATTTGTCAGCATTTTGTCTACGTTGCAACACAGCTCATGTAGGGGGGAGGGGGGGTCTTTCCATTTCCAGCTGGAAACGAGTCACTGGAAGGAAAGTTTTTCTGGTATTTAGCACTTCTCCTCCCCTTTATTAATGAAGCCATTAACATATTTCTGTCTGCGCGCTCTGTTTCAGCAAATGCAGGGGAGCTGTGGATGAGAGGTGGTCCCTCGCCCGCACAGCCCGGGGCCACCCAGCAGCCCCGCTGCATGCAGAAGCGCCGAGCGGCGTTTCGAGCCCACGCACCAGCTCACAGGGGCTCACCCATTGTACGGTTAAGCCAAGTCAGCGTTTGCTCGTCAGCCGCTGCTCTGAGCCAGCCAAGCCAGCCGATAACAGGGGGACATGCCCTCTCCTCTGCTTCTGGAATGAACCCGGTGCCCCAGCCCATGCTGAGGCTGATGCTCAGGATGAAAAGTGGCTACACTGTGCCCTCCCCAGAGTAAAGCTCTTCCGGGGAGCCAAGGTGCCCGTATGTCACAGCGACAGGAGTTATAAATGGCTTTGGCAGAACAAACGTGCCATGGCTTTGAATCAGCAGCCGAGCCCGATGCCTCCTAGATAGCAAGGCAGAGCAACAAAGCTGCAGAACGAGAGGACTCTTTCTATTGCAAATAAAAATGTCACAAAAGGAGAAACGGAAAGCTGCCGGCTTCGTGCTTCAATTAAATGACGACATCTCGTTCTGTCATACCCCCCACTCCTAAGTGGCACACACACTTGCTACGCAGCTCATCGGGGGCTGAAGGGACGCCTCGCTCCAGGCTGGCTCTGCGTGGAGTGTTTTCCCGCATACTTCTATCTCCTGCTTCTAGAGGGAGAGACCTCGGAGGCAGCAGGGTTGGAAAAGCGAGAAAGACAGAAGGTGGGGGGGAGGGAAGAGGAGAGAGGAGCGGGGCCCTCAGCTAACACTTCTGCGTAAGCAAACGCATCCGCTCTTTTTAAGAAATACCCTCTGGCTTGACAGCTGCAGCTGAAAGCCTTGCCGGGACAGGCAACATCCAGCACTGCCCGGGTTTCTGTCTGTTATCTACCCCCATCTCCCACCCTCCCGGGAGGCACATTGTCCTGAGCCAGCCACTGCAACCTGCCCCGGCAATGGACATGCAAACCCCGGCACCCCAAAATCCACCCCCCCTGCACCCCTCCTCCGACGATGCCGCACAGCTTGTTTGCTCCCGATGCCTGCTGGCAGCCAGGCGAGGGAAAAAAAAAACAACAAAGCGCTAACCACCGAAAGGCCACCCTGAAGGAGGCGAGCGCAAGTCCTTCCGCAGCCTTTTTGGGTGAGGGACCCCACCACCCCGCGCCCCTCCCAGGCCCCACAAAGGCGGCACTCACAGCTCGGTGCATGTTGGACATCGGCGGCGAAGCCCGGCGGATTCCAGAGCAGAGCTAAAAGAGGAGAGCCATCAGACGGCCTTTCTCAGCACTGGTTGCACAGCATACAAGATCATGTTTTGATTACAAAAGCCTCGTCTGGGCTCCCAGCCAAGAGCACTGGCTGCCTAATATACCAAGCACAGACAGGGTTTTGAGTGCCTGTGTCCTCCTCTCCAATCTCACTCTCTTTTTAAAAGAAACACTCCCCCTTTTCCCCCCTCCTGACTCCTTTTAACTTCCTGATGCCACAAGCCCTCATTCAAAGTGGGAAAAGCCAGGCAAACAATGAAAAATGGATCAGGCAAACAGCTTGACTGCACTTCGTGGCCATTCATGGGGTCGTGTTATTTGTTATGCATGGCTAGTTGCGCGCCTGGCAGGGGATCGGGAAAGTATCTGGGGTCCTGAATGTCTTGTGAGTGCAAGTATGTGCGTGAGCCTTCAGGGGAAAGCAAGTGCCAGACTTGCCTTTTTCTGTTTAATTTCTGTATTCTCCGGCGATGTATTCCCCGTTTTTAAAACATGCCGTTCTTTCAGGGAGGAAACCAAGGTGATGCTGTGGGGTGGGCATTATCAGCCAGCACCATGACTAGCAGAAAGCACACAGGAAAAGGAGAGGGTCCCCCTGTGAGTCCCCATCCAAAAGCTGCCAAAATGACCCCCCAGAAGAGTCACAAGGAGTGGGGCTGCAGCAGAACGGGGGCAGCACTCACCTGGGTGAGCCATGGGTTGCCGCACTTGGACCCTTATCGCAGCAGCCTGTCCTGGCTGTGCTATGGCCTCCTCCACACGGACTGGCTGCCCTTTCCCTCAGCCTCCGGGGGACCCAGATCGTGCCAACAGGAGGTGGAAGCACACGGGGGAATACCTTGTTGCCCAAGGACCGATGCACATCCCAATCTTAATGAGGGCCCTGCTAAGTTTGTATGTTAAAATAAACGAGCAGGCCCATTGTGGGTACCTATCCCCTCTAAGACCTTTGAGCAGGTCAACTGCTTACAAAATCCAAAAAGTTCAACCTGAAATTCAGCATGGTTCAAGGGAAGCCTCCAAAAGACTTTGACGAGCTCTGAATCTGGCCCCTCCTCGGCACGTAACTCTAGCGATTGGAGATCAGGGCTAAGGCCCTAAAGGAGCTGGAAACATGGCTCAGTAGAAGTTCTTAGAGGGAAAGACTGACCCATATTAATTAGCAGCTACTCAAATGTTGAAAGGAAATTGAAACCATTTCCCAGGCAGTGCCTCTGGATCCAGGTTCAATGAAGGAAATAAAGACTCTGCTGAGGACGGAAAACTGGAAAAAAGGCACAAGAACTTTGCTAGAGCCCAAGCGCTTGTTGGGAGGGTGGTGGTGGACAAGCCCGTGCAGCAGGTGCGGAGCCATGCGGGGCTTCTCCTTGCCCTGGGAACACCCAGGGGAGCTGGGAGCATGGAGCTGCCTTGGGTTTCCAGGCTGGCAAAGTCCCTTGTGGAGGGTGGAGTGATGGCCTGGTTTTGGTTGGGCTGGTGGCCGCAGGGACAAGGTCAGCCCTAGGAGATGCTGCAGGGCTGAGTCAGGCAGTCAGCATTCATGGAAACGCTTTTTCCAGGGACGGTGCATTACCCTGTTTGTATGGTGGCCATGTTCCTGGGCTCCAGGAGCCCGCACACCCTGCCAGCACCCGGGTCCAGGTTAGCACAGGACCCACACCGTTACTCCCGGTTCTTTGTGCAGTGCAGTGGGCTCCACTGTGCTCCCCATGGATCACCGTAGTTACAGGACCATGTCACACCTGAGTTGTCACGGCTTAAGCTAAGTGCTTGCAAGAAGTTTCTGCAGACCTCATAGCCATGGCATCCTAGGTCTCTTCTGGTATCGATGATGTGGCCAAGCTCTTCCATCAATGAGCAGTGCCATGAGCAGGCACAAAGAGCCCCAATGTACCATTGCCTTTGCTAATGTCTCTGGAGAGCCCCAGGGCAGTGTCAGCTACTCCTCTGCCCCCAACACAGAGAACTGACATTCCTCAGCTGTCCTTTACCATGCCCAAGTGGCATAAATGACAAACATTTACTTCTGCATCACCATCTGAAGCCAATGAGAAGATGAATGCTCGGTTAACACTGTGGACACAGAAACCCAGGAGCAAAAGGGCCCAGTCAAGCGAGCAGCATCTGCAGCTTCAGCAGTGGGGAAGAACAGGCTGGTCTGGGGACCAGTTTGTGCTCTTGGGACTCTCACAGGATGTAGAAAGCAGAACCAGATAAACTGAGATTTGCGGGGTTATATACATGTACATATATTTGCTTATTCCTGATGTCATGGCCAGAAAGGGTTGCAATAACAGCATGTTTGTCCTCAACTTGAGGGCTTGCTCTGAACAGTCAGAAACTCTGATTTGCTCTTAAGTGCAGCATCAATCCCAAGATTAGCACGGCCTTCCCATGGGGTCTGTGCCTGCCTCGGGGTAAGGGCAATCCTCCAGGACCATCCTCCAGGACCAGGGAGTACCAATACCCAGAGGTCTGCCACTTGGGACAAGAAGAGCCAAAGATGCTCTCCTGCTCCAGTGAGAAGGGCGTGCTGGATGATGGACATTTTGGGGGTACTGCAGGAGCTCGGGACACATCCTGTTCACACGAGCATCCCCACCTCGGTGGCTGCAGCACAGTAGTCCTGCTCGCTCAAGCGGTTGGTGGCAGCTATTTCCCAGCATGCAGCTACTCGACAGAGTACTTCAGACAGCAAGTGAGTATTACATCCGTGTGCAACAGGAAGGACATTTGGAGAAACCAGCTCAATTACTCACTCAGGAATTTGTCCACCACCCCTAGAGTTAATCCCTTCATTCTCTTAATATCACCAGAAGCACTTTAATAGGCAGGATGGCCTGATTCTGGGTTCTTTATTGTGCTCTGGCTGCTGTGGACTGGCTTGTGCCATCTCGGAAGCCTACCCAGCACAGAAGCCATCCAACGTACTCAGCATAGATACCCCAGGTTGGCTCTGCGGTTTCTGCTTTACGGGAAGAGGATTTATGAGCTCTTGCTCATAGAAGGAGCAAGTCTTCTGAAGCTCCCTGAAGGAGCAGTCCCTGGAGTGGACAGCAGGCTGGAGGAATCGAGAGGACATAAGGGGATTTGTGCTGTGTTTCTGGGCTGGGGCTGTGCTACTCAGGGACTCGGCTGACTTGCCTTAAGCACAGCCTCCAGCTGCCTACTTGGAGCCCCTGCTCTCCACTCAGGGCAAAGTTTGCTGGAGATTCTTCTGGGGCAAAGGAAGGAAATCAGGGCAATAATTTGTCCATTTTGTGCTCGTGATGGTGAAATAGTCCCTTTCTCTAGTTGTGCGCTGCAAAGCCTCTCCCTTTCGGTTTCAGCAGAAAGAACCATCTCTGACAGGAGTCTACAATCTCCCCGCTCCAGGACAGCATTCCGCAGCTTGCAGGAAGTATTGCCCCACATTTTGACATCAAGACTGTATATTTCTTCTCTGTCATTCTGCTTTACACAAAGGCTGAGGGAAAGAATCTGATTCCTCAATAAACCTAAACCTGACCACCCCGAAAAGCTTTCATGGCATCCGTTCATCAGCCCTGCCACCAGCAGGAACCACCTTAGTTTGAAACCTTCCTTCTTTTTCATTTTGCTCTCTGTGAAACTCCTCCAAAGCCACTCAATCCTATGCTGCCACTTTTCCCAAGTGCACTTCACCCATTTTCATCTTGGCTTCTCTCCATTTTTTGCATGACTGCTATTTAGTCAACAGATGGCACTCGGCAACTGCTGGGAGAAGCTGGGAGCCAGCTGCCAAGAAGCCCACTGTACAAGGAGCTTGAAGTCTGGCTGTTTTGGGAGGCTGCTTTTATATTCTGTATCAGGACTGCAGATAGTCGCCTGGCCGAGTTTCAGCAGTGCTCCTGCATACTGCCCTGTGCAGCAATGAGCTCACAGACCACGCTGCCCGAGGCTCCTGAGCAGAACTATCCATCTCCAGGCCTGCTGGTTGGAGGGAGGGATGGGAACATGCAGGATATCAAAGAAGATTTCCCCAGAAGCCTGGAGGCATCTTTCATATCAACTACAGAGCAAATTTCCCTGCAATAAGCAAACGCCTCCTTTGCCTTCCTTGCTTACCCCCGGCTCCGGTCCTTTGGCCGGCTGCAACTGCAGGATGAGAAGCCATTTGAGGCATTTCCTCCAGCCAGCCAGGAGAAAGGTCAGCATATTCCCTAGACTGGGAGGAGGGACCAGCCAGAAACCTTAAACAGGCTTTAGCTGGAGAGGCTCATAGTGATCAAAGGACTGCTGAGACATTCATTTTTAAATGTATCAATATACAATTAAAATGAAACCTGCCAAAGCTAGTTAAAGGATATAATGGCAGCCTGGTCCTGCTTAAAATCAGTGAAGATCACAGCTGCTTGTTGGTACTAAGGGGGCTGCCGTCCCATAGTGACACCAACCACAGCACCAGCACAGAAAGCTCTCAGGGTGTGCAGAGCAGCCATGCTCCCATTGGAGGACAAGTTTGTCCCCTCTTTTCCCCCTCCCTGTGCACCATCCTGGGCAGGTTCGTGCCCCAAGTCCCGTGGCATGTTCAATGCCACCTTGAATAACTCATGGTCTCATCACCTCACCTGACATTTTCTGCTCCTGAAAAGCTTGTAATTCTAGTATAGGCCCTCTGAAGCTGAGCAAGCGATAAGAGGATCTATCCTCTTAGTTCTTCCCACTTCCAGATATAACAGCAGGGCCAAATGCAGGTTTGCTGACCCCATTTACTGCCCCAGCCTTCAGATGTAGGACATATGACCCAGCCTTGGGAAGAATGCCAGGCTGTGGAAAGTGGCTGGGACAGCCAGTCAGTCAGGTTCTTTTCATCTTTTATGGAAATGTAGTCCCTGGGGAAAGCACGGAGAGCTGCAGACAGCAACTGGTTCACCCTGGGCGAAAGCTGTCATCAGCAGGGGCCAAGGGAGGTTCCCCGTTCCAGCCCACGACTTCAGCCCAGATCTAGGAGGATGTGGGCAGCCCAAGGGCCTGTAACTGGTAGTTCACAAGCTGCAAATGAACATGCCAAGAGCCAGCTCAACATGGACTTGTGCCCCTTGTGAACTACAAAAAGACAAAAATATTCAACACGGGGCTGTTTTGGAGCTACACCAGTGGCAACATGACCCAC